AGATATCTCTTAAAATAAGAGATACATGTACCTCTGTAATTTAAGGAAATATCTTATTTTCCGTATACTATGTAAATACTAAAAGGGCTTGTCATATTCGTTTGGTATTGGAAAGTAGCGTATGTAATACGTAAGCATTTTAACAAATCATCGAAGTGTGGTTATAATAATGAAATTGTATTCATTTTCACAAAATGTTCAATCTTAGATAAAAGAAGAAAAATCATCACAAAAAACAATTAGTAGCTTGCGGATTATTCACAATTGTATAGTTACTTAAAAACGATAAATAAGGATAAATTACAAGAAGTATTTTACTGTTAAAGCTTTTTCTGTTGTAGTGTCCTTCTTTTCTTCATAATGTCCATATAATGACCGATGTACGCTGCTGGTTCTGTACCATTGGATTTCTCACTCTTTGTTGATTTCGTTTCGTAATATTCCTCTAATTTTCGTAAGTCATCTAGACTTTTGCTTGGTCTCAACAACCGTCTGTTTGCTAATTGCATGCTTCTAGACTTTATGGTGTCTTTTATACGCACTACCTTCTTGTTCTGAGAAATTCTCTTGTCCCTATACATTTCCAGTAATGGCTTACCGGTTCTTGAATCAATATGGTTAGCGGCTAAAAATCTCCGCAATTTCCGATTCTCGTCCCAGAGTCGCTCGGCACGAGATTTCTCTTTAACTAGTTCTTCTATTTCATGCTTGTATTCAGTATTTGACTTACTGACTTCTGAAACTTTTTTGCTCATTCCTTCAACTTTCATTGTCATTTCAAATAGTTGTGACTCCATCCGGGCTATTTGTGACTTCCGGTCTTCCACATCCCTCAATAAAAATCCGTTTGTCGTTTTGGAATGATCTAAATCCCGCCTCATTTTATCAACAACCTCCGCAGTTACCCCCATTTTTTCTTCCTGTTGCTTGCGAAGTCTTTCGTTTTCTTTTCTAAGGCGTTCCAGCTCTTTGATTAATTCTGCAATTTGTTCCAAGAATCCATTTCTTTCTTTTTCTAACAGTTCGTCTGTTTTCCTTCTCATTTCCTCCGCTTCCTCCTCGTATGATTTCTTCTTTTTTCCTTCTTTCTTTTCTCCAGATTCACTTTTGACTCCTTTCTTTGGCTTCATGACCACTTTAGACATCTATTTACACTTCTATATTTAATATTTAACTTTCCTTCTAGAATTCCAAGTTTAGAGATATGGAATCAATTACTATTTCTTTAAAATAAACATATAACTGAATTATCCATGCAATGTTCAAAATATTACAGAGATAATTTCAATGTATATTTCTACCATATCAAGATTCCGTTGACAAGCAAATTTTACCTACGTCAGTGGATATTATTGGGTTCGATATTTTTATGGGGTTAATCAAATTCATCTTTGCAAATTTTACCTGTTTAAAAAGGTATAATTAAAAAAAAAACTACAATGTACATATTTCTTTTTCTTTGATAAAAGTAATCATTATATACTTTATGACAATAGAGAAATATAAGAAAAAATAATTTAATATTATTGCCCTTTAGGAGTCCCAGTAGTTCATAAATAACAACAAAAAACTCCTGAAATTCAAGTCTTTAGTATCTGGCATTTTTGGCCTAATATTCAAACCAAACAAAAGGCCTTTCAATATTTTTTTTTCAAATACTGAAATCGAGTGATCTATAGCAAATTTAAAATCAAAACACAATTTGAAAAGAGGCAATGATGCGAGTGCATGGTCTCTCTTCTCAATCCATTTGCAGAGGTGCTTCCTTAAATTATTTATTTAAAAGGCTTTTTGTTTGAATGTCAAAAGCAATAAAAAGATTGAAGAGAAACCTCTTAAGTGAAAGCAATTAAATTGTCGGTAATTAAAAGATGATTTGATGTACAACTAAGGCTCTTTTCTGTAAAGGTTTGAACAAACCGAATTCATTGATTTTACCGATACTTATGTGAGCATGAAATAGGATGAATTTTAAGTAGAAAAGGTTTTTTTCTATTCTGAGGACCAATTCATCTTATTAATTCATCCTTTACTTCATTTGTTAAATTTCAAAACTGGTTGACAAATATTCAGACGACGTAATCATTATTTACGATTGCGTTGAGTACATGAAAAAAAATATAACAGTTAATTTGTGATTCGTGAATTAAACACGGGCTGTAGATTTAGCACGAGCAAAAATTTTAAGATAGTTAATCTGAAAAAAAAAAATTGCAAGTTTATCTCTTTTGATTTTTTTTTTCAAAACAAGAAGCTTAGACTGAAGGTCTAGTTTATTTATTCTTTATTGTTATACAGTTACAGATTAAAGTATACATAAAACATTGCACTTAATTGTTACATTTACATTGTCTGTAATATACAAAATAGACACAATATACCGAAATGCACATGGCTGATAATACTTAAATATGTAGTACATGTACATGTTGATGTATACTCTGAACAAATACACATTGTTTTCAGTGGCTTTATATAAAAACTTGCCCAAGTTTAGAAACTACTCAAATAACTAATACAAGGTAAATATACACTTGGTTTAACATATTAATATTTATACATATACTATCAACAACAAAAAAATCTTGAGGAAGGATACAACCATGCATTCTATAAGCGAAAGAACTGATCGACCGCCGAAGCCGCAGGCCCGAGATTAGTTCCTTCGGAGGCCCTCCTTCAACTTAAAAGTGATTTTATTTGTTCTGAGAATCAACTCAAAAATTGTACAAAACTGCTCATATTGTATTCAAAATGGATTATATAGGCAATGACGAGTTCATTGTTTACAGAATGGACAGTTAGGTAAATTAACAGGGCGTGCGGAATTTTTATGAAAAGCTATTGTGCTACCAAAAGGTCTATGTCTGAAGATGGAACAGTTACAGCGTTTGGGGGAATATTAGGTGAGACTTCAAAATTATTTCAAAATTAACATTTCTTCCTCCGATGGAGAATATAATTATTTTTGACACAATGAAAATTCAATAAATCCAAAGATGCACGAAATATATATGGATTTTTGAATGATATTGGACCTGGAAAAGGAAAGTAGTACCGGATAATAATGATGGAAAGTAGTACCGGATAATAATGATGGAAAGTAGTACCGGATAATAATGATGGAAAGTAGTACCGGATAATAATGATTTCAGCTAAATTCCCACCTGAAATGGATCTTTTCCCAAATAAATACTTATGTACTGGTATTCGAAATCAAATCAACTCTGGAAATCTGGAAATATTTCATTTTTAAAAAAGAATGGACAGTTACAGGTAACTTAATAGATTGTTTCAGGAGTTTGTCCAACAGAAAGCTATTTTAAAAATGGACAAAAACCAATAGGTTTGCTTCACAATAATGTTTTAACATGAGTTACATGTAGTAAGTAATTTGTTTACAGCGGCATGATTAAATTCTTATTCATTAGACATTAGATACTTCAGAAATTAATCAAACACCCGACCCATCGGATCTATATGCCACGTTGAACACACAATTTAAGTACAATGCACAAAGAAAAGGAAATAAATATGCATTAAGTGCTTCTGCTTTCTATAGGAATTTCCCTGTATATTCATTGACACTTTTTGTTGACAACAGTTGTATAGAAGCTTATGCATATTTGAACTATACCAATAGTTTTTTTTGATATGCAACATCCTATTTACATAATAAATAAACATTTCAAAATAAACTGGTTCTCATTTTCAGCTTTGAAAAAATCTATGCTCACTATAGGAGTATGGGTTAATCTTCTATTAATAAATGAGCACTTGGTCTTCACTTTGCAATGAATTGATATACTTGTATAATATTTCAATAGGTAAGATTGCAAACATCTTATTTGTTAAATATCTTTATAAAAAATTATTAACACTTTGACAATGAAGAAAAAGTGCACATGTGTGTGCGTAATCAAAACATCACAGAAATGACATAGAAACATGCTGTGTACTCGCGAAATCTACGAACATTGGTTCCCCACGAACAATGATGATTCCACAGTATTCTGGGAAAATGACAGATGACTCAAGTCCTATCGACCTTGCGAGATTAAGAATGCTCTGTCCGATTTTTTTAAATTCTGAACAGTTGCCTATTATACACTTAAGGACCTGGCCAAATTTTGTTATCAATATGAAAAGTCTTATCTATACTACTGTTCCTCTAAAAATTTAGCAGTCATATATATTTGTTAGTATTTAAACGAAACTCAATCAAGTTAACGAGCATTTTGTTGACAACTGCTTTATTTTACAACTGTCTCACCGGAAACCTGACTGTCTCATCGCCGTGTTCCGGTGTCACTCTTTCATATCAAACAAAATTTCAAACACTTGCCATTCAAAAAAAAAAAGATGAATTGGTTGATTTATTTTGGAAAAATTGGGGGAAAGAGTGTTAATAGCAGTATTATTGAATGTACCGGCTTCGATAAGTTGAGCTGTTATACAATTTTTAAGAAAATCACGAACATCGGAGTATTTAAATGGTTTTGTGATGAACTGTGAGCTTCGTGATCAAATGAACACGTGAAAGGGGCGGGGTCAACATATCTCCATATTTTCCGCATTTTTTAAATAAAAAAAATAATCAATAAAAAGTATATATTGGATTGTCATTTTCACCCTACTGTCATTCAAGTATGTCGGGCAAAGCGGAAAAACCAATTCACGAATTATATCAGTTTCATAATGATGAAAAGTGATGCACTGCAAGGTCTAGAAGTTGTGTTAATCTTGATATCGATTCAGAAATGAAACCCATGAATAAAACACAACTGTGATATCACCTCATTACCAAGTCAGCCGTGATTGCTCATGCTAACACTAGTTCAGCCTTATTTATATGTCGCAGACATCGGACACCTCAGAATATATCGCATTTCATGGGATGTTGTGCCAATACCATACTGTTATAAATTAAATGAGCATTCGTTGACCTCGAAATACCTTTACATGGTATGAGATTTGGGCTCAAGAGAGCGTGAAGTTTGCGAGGATTGCAAGCTTGACAACTCGGAGAACAGTTCAATAGTGAAACATTCCTAGTGGATAAAACATTGTTTTCAACGAGGATCAGCTCTAGTTTTTCAAATCCTACCAAATGTGGACTTTAAACTTGAATATATACTTGAAATGTTTACACCTGGTGTTGATTTGAATACCCACTTTGTTCGGTTTCAATGGTCGATGTCTTATCGACATGCTCTGTGATTTCTCAATGCCACTGATTCCTGTAACACAGTTCACAGAAGTTTAATTGTAAACCAATTTTCTGTGTTTATATCGGGATTTTTAGGCTCTATGCAGATAGGGAGATGAATCAAGAATCAATAGTTGATAGTCTCTGGAACTAACGTTTGTCATGGATAAATGTCCCAAGTGCGGAAAAACTGTCTATTTTGGTAGGTACACTCGGCTGTACACTAGAAGTGATCTAAAACACCAATGTAATGAATTATGTTTCCTATAATCTTAATGTAAATTTGAAATACTGTATATGAAATTTATTCGGAACTGAAAAAGTGTGTTTTCAATGATGTTTGTCAAATGTTTTGATATGACAGTGTATAAATAACGATTATTTCCCAACATATTATAGCTCGTGTCAGCTTGTATTATCTTTGAAATATTACCCAAATGAATTTTATGAAAAAGGAAGAAAATAGAACGAGGAAAACCTGCAACAGGTTTATAAAATATTTAAGGGGTTGTCATGAAGTCTTGATTGAAAATCAATAGAGTTCTGTTCTATAAATGTGGGGTCTATTTTTACTTTGTATTTGAACAAGAGCTGAACACGGAGTAATAAACTTGTAACAATATGTCCTTAAACAGTGGAGTCTTGGTACAGCCCCAACTGTGACAGAGAACATCAGTAAAACATTTGTTTTTAGGAGCGTGACAAATGAAAGCTAGACGTACAGAGAGGTCATTCATTAATCTCCGTGGCTAATGCCTTTTGTAGTGTAATAAAGTTAAGAAAGTCCTTGCTTCTTTCAGTTTTACCATAAAAAGTACATATATTTTATTAGGACAAATGAGAATGAACTTTGGAACAAATTCATGGTCAATATAAAATAGGAACATCGTACACCTGCAATCTAATGTACTGGTAATAAAATTCGCGACTTGACCTTATTTGAAGGTTTTCTTTAATCTCATTCAGGTAGACACTTGGCCCACTGTAGCATTTTACTCGAAAGGGCGTCGGCAAATTTAGCATATAATAGGTGACTTTTCTCATTTAAACACGTTTATCTAACAAAATCAACACAGTATATTTATAAAAGTTTATAATGTAAATACTTCCCTGGCTATAGTATCTTTATATTAGCCAGATTTTTCATTCATACGATGTTTTTGGTGAACAGCATTGTTTGTTTATGTTTTCATTTTAAGTTCCCTGCATCATTTATCCAAGGGCATGTGAATATGTGGACGAGAAAGCTAGATTAGTTGACCAATTTCAAATTTTGACATATGAAGTAAACTTTAAAAAAAATATAACAATCCTAAAAATTCATTGACAAGCCTTTCTTGTGGCAAACTTAGTGCATTCCGTGGCAGTCCACAAATGGGAAAGTCTCGACTTGTTCTTTTTTAATTAAATACATATGTACTAGATGTATATTATTATGATACGCATATTTCTAAAAATTAATTCAAAAAATACCTAGTTTTTGCAAGTTCCAACAATCTTGAGGAGTCAAAAGATGAGCAGAGCCTCTGGTACAATTGACTTTAAAAAGTACATAATTATATTTATGTTGTAAACCACGTTTTGTTATTTTGTCTATTTTAGCCGAAAGAAAGACTTCGCTGGGAAAGAACTGGCATCCTAACTGTTTGAAATGTGAAGAGTGTGGAAAAATCCTATCTCCGGGCCAACATGCGGAGGTAAAAAAAAAGATACCCGATAAACTGGAAATCAAATAGACCAATAAATCTACTAATTAAAGAAAAAATACTTATTCATTCTTTAAAAACGGTCGAAAAGGTGTACTTCACGAAATCGAGAAATAGGAAAAATCTACATTAATGCAAACCACATTTTTATTCTGGATCCGCTCCCCTATTGAAAACCATGTGAATTGCAGAATCATGATCAGGAATAATATAAGCACCCCTTCTTTATAAAGTTAAAACAAGTATTTGTTAAGAATAGTTGATACTTTCAGATAATTATCAGATCATATATAAATCTTATTATATATGACAGAATATTGTAAAATGATAATGTACAGAAGGAGTGGAAAAGATTACAACAAATGCTTAAAAAAAGGATATATTAAACATTCACATTAAAACTATTTTCAAGTATATAGAGGCATTCAAAAAAAATATTATTTTGTTATTTAAATTGAGAAAATTCATTCAAAGACATAGGGTATCTTAGTAGAAAATACAATAAATGTGTATATGCAAATTAAGTACAACTTAAAATCCAGATTGTTATCTTGACCTCAGACCTGTTTTCAGACAGGAAATGGCGGGGAATTTTTACAGATCTTAAAAACCTGCACGTTCCAATTGAAGTCTTCTTGTGATATCATTATTCAAGTTCTTTAAAACTTCAAATTAAACATGTAACACTGTAAATATTTAGTGTTAGGTAGTTTAGTAGTAGTAGTGCTAGTTGTTTTTGTTTCTCTGTGTTCCTTTGTTTATTAGTCTAAAAAAAGTATTCCTTAGGTTTTTTTTAAATGCTCAAAGTAACAACAACATTGATCTTGGCAATAAATTGCAGAGAAAAAAATCTGTTCTTGGAATTACTTCCTAGTCCCCTCTCACTTTGTTCAAATAAATCTTCTTCAAATTTTTCTTGTTAATCAATCGATCGAGCAGAACAAAGTCTCTCAAGAGAACGATAGGCCATTTTAATGTGTTTTTGACACACTTAAAGGATTACTCACAGACTGCAGTTCTATCAATCATTATTGGATTGTGTGATCAGCTGAAAAACACGCCATTCTCTTGTCATTGATTGAATCGTTGTTTGGATCCATGCATGTTTTAGGCTTATAACAATGATAATTAAATAAAAGAAGTGAGCGATATAATATTCAGACAGGAAAATCGGAAAGCCGAAATTCTTTCATTGAAGATGTTCAACACAGTTAACGGAGTGTGCGTCTTCTGTCAGGATTTATAGAGATCCAATTTTTTCATGTTCATAATCATAAAGATTAACTGGAATTCGAAATAAAAATCGTATGTCCGTTCCCACTTGTAAATAGCTTATCAGTACAAAATTGTGGGTGGGAATCCTGGTTTTTGTAAATGGTTGGACGTATTCCTATTTATTTTTAAAATCGTTGTCGAGATATAGTTACTAAAATTGTTTAAATGAAGGTTTTGTTTATTTATCAAAACATTTCATTAAAATTATAATTATATAACTTATTGGGATTGTTAAATATTTGAATTTGAAATCTGCATTGTTCACAACACCCTTGTCCTTGGTAATACGATAAGTTCATCATTTTGACTTATTATGGACTTCGTAAGATAAGGGATGTGCCCCACTAAAAATCATTATATTCATTTCAAATTCATGTATTGACAAATGTATAGTTCCTCACTGTTCATTACACACAAAAAATAATATCCAATTCTACGTTCATATACCAAAATTAAAATAAAAAATGTTATGAAGGTAGGACGACGCATATTTGAAATTAATCTGAACTTATATATTTTATTGAGTATTCAAATATATTGGGACACTCTTATTGAACATTCGAATAACAACCATTTGACAGTAATATGACATCCGTAGACTAAAATGCATTAAAATATGATTTTTTTTTCAATTCGTCTCTTTATAAAAAATCGAGACATACAAGAAATCCTTAAGCCTAGTTTGATAAAAATATTTCAAGATTTTTTTTTCATTTCAGGGGAAAGGACTGCCATATTGTCACAAGCCGTGTTATGCCAAGCTATTTGGACCCCAAATGATGGGATATGGTTCCAATGTGGTGTCACCCGCAAATTTTAAGAGAATCGGTGACGGTACACTTTATAACGGAGAATATGATTTTGATTTGAAAGAAGTGTTCGAAAGTGGAAAAATGATACACAGTAACGGTAGTCCACAGCACATTGTGAGTCCTAAACAGAAACGCAATTCTCACGACGTGACGGAAGCCAAAGCAGGCCCAAATCAAATCATGGAGTTCGACTTTTTCTCTAGGACTTTTAATGGTTCCCCAAAGAAAAGTCCACAGAAGAACATGTCAGATTACACTCCGAGAGAGTGAGTAGTTTTATCCCTAGTTGGTGTGTTCAGAACTGATGTACTTACTGAAGTATGAACACATGCAAGTCAATAGCAATATTACTGCTTTAAATATTGGAATTAATTAAACTGTTTTGTCGGCCTTGAACATGTTAAATTCACCTAGCACTGTTTATAGACTGCCTGACTGAGCTTGTACATATGTAATACTTTTAAACTGACAGCTTCATACTTTTTTTGTTGTTTTAATGAAATGGAACTCTTGTAAACAATCTGCCTTTTTCTTCTTTATCCGATTCTTACATGAAACGGGGGGGGGGGGGTAAATTTATACATGTAGGTCCTTGATGAAACAACAAAGATTTTTCGTTCTTTGGAAAGGGAGGGGGTAAAGATTTAAAATATCCAAATGTATGTATGGAAAGGTGTTATCTGCATTTTATTTCCCGCTTTGTAATTTGTTCGATTAGCATGATAAGGAAATCCAACATCCGCCTCCGTGTTGTGTTTCGCGAGTTATTCCCCTTTACCCGGAAATCTCCTTCAAGCCCAGCTTCCGCCAGATGTATTATCGTTTTACATGTTGTTTTTGATGATGCTTGTGGAAGGTTCGACGCGAAAGAGATAGAGATGAACAGGTAAATTGTACCCGGGTAATTTGTACCCATTATCACTTTCGTATTCGTATATCGTTGTGCTTTAATAACAGCTCCATTTACCTGATAAAAGGTAGTCAGGTGATATATGCACACCGAGCAGTGTCGTATACGTGACCCTGTAGACCTTTTCTTATGTTGCAGTTAATATTGATTACATTTAGGCCTGTATCTTGATTTAAACAGATAAAATTGTCGCCGATTGTCCTTTGGATCTGACATTTTAAATAGACCCTTTCATGGACTTTGGTTGGTCAGTGATGGCAACTGGTTGGGGGGGGGGGGGTCAATGTATAGGAGGATGATTAGGGAATGGAAAAATGAGGTGTAGTCAGATTGAATGTGATCCCCACAGTTCAAAGACGTTTATCTTAGAAATGTCATTACAGACTGACTGTAACTATTGCTTCATATAGAGTCGTAGACCCAGATTGAAGTTGCTCAATTAGAAATTATATCTCATGGATATTTATAGTCAATTATGTAGTATAGTCATATTATATATATTTTTAATTATTAGGTTAGTAGTAAGTGGCTGTCTACAGAAATATATCAGTTGATCAAACTCTGGGAAGACTTAAATTATTAATATACAAACCAAATAAAGGTTTTGTTTTGACTAGGACAAGTAACATTCAACAAACTAAATGTATCGATTACACTTAAAAGATTTTATTGTCTTTGCAAATCTCTTTCACTCTTCATCTTGTTGTTTACGGATTAGGTCACTGAAAAGGGGTCCTTCTCTATACATTTAATTGCAGCATCAGCAAGTGAAGTAGGTAATAATTTAAACATATAATGCTAGCACAATTTTTTTTTCTTTACATGTTTTGTAAATAAGGATGACTTAACATCATTTTATCCACCATGTAGCCGTCTATATTTTATCTGTTTTAAAATAAATGGCATGCAGGCACATGGCGTCTGTTATCCAATGAAAAAGGGTCATTCTAGTTGGTGGCAAAACAAACATCCATGGTATACTTAGTTTATTTTATGTTTATAATAATCAGCAAAATTTAGAGACTCACCTGATGTAGTGTGTGAAACTGATCCGTACGCATCTCTTTTTGGAACCAGCATAGATTATATAGATTGTGAATTCATGCAGTGATAGTCAGAAAACAAAAAATCTCAATTTATTTGCAACTTTATATACATGTACAGACAAAAGGAGACTTCTTGCATGCACATTAAATTGGGAGGAAAAAACCTTCTCTGTTTACAGTAAATTTTTTAGTGATCTAGAAATTAAATGATTACATATTAAGTTATTTAAGCACCAAGTGAAAGCTTTTGCTTGTGGGTACATATAGTTACACAGAGTAAACACCTTTCTATAATTGAGCTGACGTTGCATGCTTCTCATATTTGGCATGGGAAGATGATGATTTTTTTTTTCATTTGATAATGTTAAGGTCAGTAGCATAGGCCAAGGTCAACCCTAGTGGTATTAAATATGTATATATGTAAAACCAGACATTCTGATTTGCCTGTGTACAAAATTTGAAGAATATACTTCATAACAGAGTTACATCCGAATGCTAAACAGATATATACAGACAGACAGGTATTATTAATCCATGGATTGGAGTTAAATTAATTTGCAGTTGGCCCCATAGGGTAAATTAGATATAGTAAAAAGGTCACTAACAGCAACAAAGATTATTTTGTATTATCAGTGATTAAGGAGTGCATGTCAGTTGTCATGTTTATACGATAATGTTGATCAAATTTTTCTTTCTGTTTACTTTGTATGTTACTGTGGGAGTTTTGTAAGGTGTAATATAGATAACTGAGTGTATAGGGAGTTTATAGGGACTTCTGTTATCAAATTATAATACAGGGCAAGAAATGCAGGTAGAATACAAAACAGTAAATTGAAAATAGTTCAGGGGGTCATTGCTGGAAGGTATTTAAATACTGACCCATATAACTCTTCCTATTGTGGTCCCAAATAGAGCAGTATTTACCAGAACACTATTAATATTCAATCAGCCCTATATCAATAATGATCAAATTAAGCATTTGATAGCCTTTAGACTGTTAAGGAATCTCCAGTCATGCATTCATAACATCTTACACCTGTGTGGTACAGTACGTCACAAGAACCTAGTATTATAAGATATAGGGCTGTGATTGAAGGTGATGATTAGGTGGGAGAGATGTAAATTTTATTTCCCTTCCTATCAAATACTGATATTACCTTGACCTGAACTATACACAGTGGAGGAACTATTACGATGCTCCCTCTGAATGGCAAGCTATCAGTTCACAGTGTCCTTATGGATTTATCTCCACATGTCTGTCTAGCAGCCAACCCTTTTTTTTTTTTTTAGCTGTGTTACATTTTGTCTCCTAAATGACCTATAATATATACATGTATGTATGTGTTGATGGTGATCGAGGTCTTCTTTGATTGTTTTCGAGGGACAAAATGGAGACAATAATTGATTACGAACAGGAAACCTTGGTTGACTTGGCTGAGTAAGTATACGAACAATGTTTGGGATTACAATTTTGAATTTTTTTTACCTTTGTGTTTTTGTTTTGCATTTTTGAATTCACAAGATTTGCATAAATATGTCAGTTGTTTTGCTCTTGTGTCTGAATTCCAACATTTTTTCGACATTGATTTTTACTCCGATTCTAGTTGATACATGCTTAAGACCATGGTTTGTATGTTGAATAGACAAGTCTCTAGAAAACTAACACCGAGTTGTTTAGTTTACCGGTGTATAATAATAACAGGTTTTCTTGTGAATGGTTTGTTTGGCATGATTTTTTATTGAAATGTGCAGCAGTATAAAGAAACAGGTGATTTGTATATGTTTTATTCATTACATTTGTAGAGTTTGTTGAATCTTATCAGAACCCCCTAGTATTTCTGTGCTTAAAGATTTTATTTCCATTGTAGACGAGAGCTAATAAAGAAGATAAATGAATTCAATACTTACTATGAAGGCAAGAAAAGACAACCCCTAACCATCAAGGAGGTGTGTATGGATTTATCGTTTTGAGTTGAATAAATTAACATGCTCATGTCATGTAACAGTACCAGAGTGAGACCTATTCATATCATTATATACTGGCACTAACATTCGTTTCTAACATTTAAATTTTATTACTGGTGATATGGGAAAGCAAACTGGGGACAAAACATTAGATTTTATATATTTCTGTGACAAATTATTGCACGACAAAGCTTTATTATTTTCCAAAGTGAGGCATCCAAAAACCAATTACTAAATTAGATTCTCCGTTCTGTAAAATATCTGTGATTATATACTGTCATCCATACAGCTCTACTGGGACACAAGTACTCATTTCCATACAATTTATCATACACCAAAATAACAATTCCATCAAAATTTACATAGAAATAGTGATTTATCATCGAATGTTTACCTACCAAACATCTCCAATGTTGTGACATATGGAATACATGAAATATGCCAGGAATCACTAATGATGAACAAAAGCAATTTCAACAATGTGTTGTTAATTATCAGAAATGAGCATACCAATCAAAGGGGCAGTATTTGTTTACTGTTGCATGTAACCATTGCCTGTACACTGCAGTAGCCTCAGAGATTTCTGAACTGTCCTATCTCCTAACTTTCTTGGAGCCATTTTTCTTTGAGAGGAATAAGTGTTTTGACTTTTTCTGGTGGTCAACATGTCCCTGTGGTGTCTGCTAACGAGAATTATCAGATACATGATACGGATACTGAAGATGAATCTAAACTCTCTGGTCAGAGAGTGCATAGAGATGGCAAAGTTAACTATACACAGAAGCGTAGTCTAAACAAGAGGTTTATCTTTAATAAACATTCAGAGAAGGTCTAATGGATATTAATAATTTTCCATGGAACTTGTTTACAGCAGTGTATGTTTACATATAAAACATGTGATCAGTGTGATGTGAGAGGAATAAGAAGTGTGGACTTAGATAACCAAGGCTAATTAAGTTATTACTGTTATGGCAATTATAATTACATTTAATACTTATAGTTAGTATAAATGGTGATTAATTCATTACCACAAATTTGAGAATGGGAGGTTTTGTTTTTTTGGGGCCCATTTTTTATCCACAAAGTTAGCCATATATCCATAACTTTAATTTTAAGCAGAACAGGTAGATATTTTTCTTCAAGTTTAATGTCAAGGTTAAAGATATGCTAGGTCAAGGTCATATATAAAAGAAAGCAGAATAGGACTTGGACTCTATTGGGGTACCTTGTGTAACTACTTAACGTATACACAAGTATACAGCATTAGATTACATGTAGCTGTTTTTTTTGGTTACTTTCTGTGTTTCAAATATTTTGTGTTATTTTGTATTCTTTTCATCATTCAGAGGACAGATAAATTGGTGATAGAAGGACCACTTCGTATATACTGGGGGGTTGTGAAACCAATCAAGTTACAGGAGTTTGACAACGTACCTTCAGTCCCATCTCCGACGTCATGGCGACACAGTTTTGTTCCTGGAGACCGAGTTCCAGAGTCAAGTCCAAGTCTAAAGGTAGGTAAATTATAATTGAACCATCTTCAGAAACCCACGGTCAATCTTGCATTCTACGGCAAGATTGACAGTGGTTCCCACAATGGAATTGACATGCTTCACATGTTCTTGGAATAATAATAAGAAATTTAAGAATTGAAGGATTTAAAGATACTCTAGAGAAGAATCTGAAAGGTGAAGAAACAAAATAAAAAGGTCAAATTTTACCCTAATTTACTTCTGAATGAAACTATAACTGTTTTTAATGAGTGTGCACAGAAATGTCATTTTAAGATGGTTTATTGCAGTTTAACGTGACTTTGATCATGGTTTTTAGGGTGTTTTGAGTAAGGTCATGTTATTGATTTTGTTTGTCACAGTCTGTGAGAAATGTTTGCTTAAAATAAGATCTCTGGGGAAAAGGAGATAAAGCTTTAAAACAGGGAGTCAGAGTCCACTTATCTCCTGGAGATATTGATAATAAATTTAAAAATATGGTTAAACTTAAATATTGGACAGCCCAGTACCTAATGAATTCTGTATATTTACATGTGTACCTATTTTAGTAGAAATCATTCTCTGTTGTTGTCTTCTTTTTGATTGCTGCTAATATATATGCATGACTTCACTTAGATGGGATGATTGTAAACACCAGACTGTGCTGTGACTGCTAAGAAGTCAATGACCTACAAATACACTAAATATTGAATATGCTAAATATAAGGACAATTGCACACTTAAAGAATTCAATGAGTCCAGTGAAATATTGTGTAGAGTATCACTTGTTCCTGTTTAAAGAGAGATTATCATTTCAATGTAAACTTTATTTAATATAACGACTGTTTTGTTGTCATTGTGATAAGGAAGTGCATTACTCTATAGAGTTTAACATGTTAAAAACAGCATTTAATGACTACAACATATTAAAGTACAATATACTACATGTATATACCTCATGGATAAATTCCTTGAAAATGAAATGAAATGCAGTGAAATTTTTGAGTAACATTAATTTACAAATGTTTTTAAGGTCAGTCGAGTCCTTTTCTTCCTTTTCTGTCATGTATGTCCTGTTTTGATATGTTATAGTAATGATAGGCTAATTGCAATATTTTTTAGATGCCAAGAGCTTTTAATCTACACTGTAGTTGTATAGTTCCTGAAGTTATACAATTTGAAATATTTCAGATTATTTGTGATCTAACTCTATAAATGTAGATGAGTCCCATTAGATGTATTTGATTGCATCATACTGACATACTCCAAATGTACAATATGCATGTAGCTACCTTAATTACAGTCAATTTAACAATTAAAATGGCAGGTCATTAAATCTTACTTCCTACCGAGAGATCAGATTGAAGTGAGGGTACAATTGCATAAATATTGATGCAAAAAAATTGCAGAATATTTTGCCCCCTTTCTTATAGTGTGCAAGGCTTTAGCACAAAGCTAGGATTAAGCATCCTGTCTAAATTGAAAATAAAAGTACTTCATAACCTAGCAACTGAATGGATACATTTATTTCATTATTGTATAAACCAGTTTGTAGATTGTATTACTGTCATGCAGGTTTGAATTTATATTCAAGCATTATAGACTGATACAGATTTTTTTTTTTCGTTTTCAGAGGTCAAGATCCCCTGAACCATCATCTCCCAGAGCAACAAGTAGAGGCGTGGATGACAGTGTCATATTCTCCCCACCAGATGGTGTAGTAATGCGTAGGAAAAACATCAAAAAATTCAACACTGTGGCCTACCGAGGAGATGCCCGACCCGATAAATGGAAAAGGGCTTCCATAAATGGACACATTTATAACTTTGATGTAAGTGTCATGATATGTAATACTGTCTTATCATCATTTGATCCTTATAAAACTTAACAACAATCTTTTCTTAGTTTTTTGTAGAACAACTGTAGGGTGTACATATAGTTTAAAATTTGCATTTATGTACTTAATAGTGCTTGTATTGTTCAAAACAAAACAAAGTGCTTTATTGGGAAAGAGGATACACTGTAATCACCATATCTATCATTCTCTATATTTGCCTTAGCATACACAAGATTAAGATATCATTTACCGGTATATCTCTTCCTAGTTACATGTGTGCTCATATGGCATGTAGGGATGGTCCATACAATATGTATAGTTCAATGATCTATTGAGATTTTACTTTTTACTTTCTTTGATTAAGGAACTCCATTTAGGAATTTTAGATATCTCAAGGTATACAGGTGTATGCATGTAACACATATGCCTTGTTTTACATGTAGAAATGGAGTGATAAGTTCCTACAGTTGTGATAGCTGTAGTTTGACTGTGATTACCACTTTTAGTCAGTGAAGCAATGTGTTGTATTTAATGATGTTTTAAACTTTGATGATAAGTTAACTATTATCATACTATTGTATTGTGTTTATGTCGCAGACAAGAGTCTTCACCCCCGTACTGGGCAGCTGTACTAGTGTTACAGTAGATAGTCAATGTACAACGTATGGTGCCATCAAAACACTGCTGGAAAAATTCAAGGTCAGCTGCTATACTTACTGTTTTATGCAAATATATGTCTTTTCTACTTGTAATGTAAAGTTTATAGTTAAAAAATCTTATGGAAGATACTCTTGATTATCATTATTATTTGAGAGATATATGTACGGTAATAATTTTAAAAATTTGGTTATTGGCAGATAGAGAACCAGCCTGATGAATACTCACTATATCTCGTATCAGAGACTGAAGGTTTGTAAAGCAGATTATAGATCTTCAATCCCAATAGTACATACATAAATCAGATTTGTAAATTAATCTGGGTTGATAAAGGGAAATGCATAGTTGAAGAAAAAATTTAAAACACAATTTTATCAAATAAAAATATCAACAGAAAAAAGGAAGTCCTGCGTCACTGATGACAGTTGATAAGACAAATTGAAAAGACACACACACTCAAAACAGGATATGTCTGATGGGGGTACATTACTCTAACAGCAGTATAAAGAGTTTCTCTGAAGGCAGGATGACCTATGAATCATTGTAGCTGTTAATTGTTCAAATTTTTTGTAGTGTGTTATCGTTGAAGGCAACATATGGTCTTTTTCTTAGCAGAGCACAAACACACATTTTAATTTGAAAGTGAATAAGAAAGTAGGACTAATTTTGCCATCTGATTATCAGTATAGGACATTAAATTACTTTCACAAAGTTTCCTGCATTAGAATGGTGTAAAATAAATTGATGTTCTCTTCCCAGGTGAGACATTGTTAAAGGAAACAGATCACCCTCTGCTGGAGAGGATAGCTAGGGGTCCAGATGAGACCTCCGGGGTCAAGATTTACCTGAAGGACCGTATACTGACCGTCAGGAAGAACTCGCTAGTGACCCAGCCTGTTGTCGAGGAGGAAGAGGAGGAGGAGGGTGTGATAGAACAAGAACCAGTCAAGGTGGAACAGAGTTTACCACACGAGGCAAGTTTAAAGTTTTATGTAAAGGGAGGCAACTACAGCTTTATAAATGAAGGTTTTAAGATTTAAATTTAGCAATAATTTCATTCTGCAAATTTTTGAGGGTGGTTTAATTTAGATATAGACATGATGTAAATTATTTTGTCATTTTTGAGTCTGTTTTTGAAATATACTGTACATTCCACAGGTTGAGCAGTTGATTGCAATACCAGAGCCTGTGTTACGCGGGATACTGCAGAAATTCAAGGATGATGAGGACAGGGAAATAAGAACGATACGAGCCAGGTATGATTTCTATCACTTCTCAATTATTGAAATTATACAGTCATATTACCTATTCCTAGTAGTGAGTTGATTTGGCTGTCAGTATGGAATAAGTAACATTAGAATTATTGCAAATTTTTCATCATATAAAACATTTTATACATGTACTGCAGGCAATGAAATACTTTGACAGAAATAAGAAGAACAGTAGCCCCCCCCCCCCCCCCCAAAAAAAATGAATTACCTTAATAGTTGAGATGTGCATGGCCTTGCCAAAATTAACTTGTTAACTTGATTTTGGAAAAGAATTCTTAAAATCCACTGATACACTTTATATGAGGAGTATTTGCTCATTTTATATTCAACCCAGTATCCTGAATAGGCAAATCTAATGCCCTGTTTACATGGAGATTTTGATTCGAATTAAATGTAACTTACTGCAAATTAAATCTGTCCAGCATTCACATGGAAAATTAAATGTTAATAAGTTTAATTCAAATTAATTTACTCTGAATTAGCTCCTTGTGAACGTTGAGGGAAGCTAATTAGGGCTCCGCTCTGCAGGCGCCCTATAGTGATCAGTCTGTCCGTCCGAGATCTCTTGTCCGGAGCATATCTTCTCTCTTCTTGGCCCAATCTGGCTCATACTTCACCCACAGAGTGTCTTTGGGTAAAGGGTGTGCAGTGACCTTGAACCCAGTTTCTAGGTCTAAGGTCAAGGTCATAGCAGAATTATATGAAAAATCCTTGTCCAGAGCATATCTTCTCTCCTCTTGGTCCAATGTGACTCATACTTCACTCACAGAGTGCAACTGGTCAATGGATGTGCAGTGACCTTGAACGAAGTTTCTAGGTCAAGGGTCAAGGTAAAAAATAGCCTCTCTGTTCAAAATCTTTGTTCAGTGCATGGTTTCTTTCTCTTAAGTCCAGTCAGCCTCAAACTTTACCAATTGACTTAGGGTACAGATTATTTGTGATTTTCCTTCCATATTTTGATATATATGCAACAGTTTTCATAGAGGATATGCAACATTTGTGATTTTTGTGCCGCTTTTTGATAGAGGGTATGGAGCACTCGTGATTTTCATGCCATTTTTTATTATAACAAGGTTGACATAGAAGCCCGTTAGACTCAAACAACACATCCCTTAATAGTACACAAGTGTTCCTCATCAAAATAAACCCTTTCAGCTACTTTACTTTTTCATGTTTGTTACTGAAAGCGGGGCCCTTTGAGATGGCCACCATCTCAATGATATCTAGTTTGAATTAAATTCTGACACATGTGTAATGGCAAAATTAAGTCACATGCCACGTGTTGGTGGTTAGATACATGTATGTACATGTAGGTATACTTAAGCTATTTTTGAGTGAAAAAAAAAATGCTTATCCCCAAAAATGTTTGCAGACACTATGAAATTAGGTCAAATGGATACTGTGCTCTGCATAAGGTGTAGTGATTTGCAAATGACATCGTAATAGCCTAAATGAATAGCCTTCCTGTAGAAAAAAAAAAAAGAAACAAATTTTTAATGCACATTAGTTTACTTCGCACTTACCGTTGTGTGAATGCAATGTAATTTGCATTAATTTAATTCACATTATTTTACTTTGTGCATTCATGTGAACAGGGCATAAAATTGCTAATTTACATGTAACAAATTACCGTATTATCTCAAGCAGAAAAGTTTTGAGCAAATGCTATATTTTTAAACAAACCGTTGTCAATGCTGTTGGAATAAAACTCTATTAATTTACCAGGTATGACCTCTCAAAGAGAAGATTAAAGGAGATGTTAAAAAACAAAGTGAAAATGTGACAAACTGGCCATATGGAATTAGTTGTGTTCCTTGTGTACGAACTTCAGTATTTGGAGTGTAACACGGAGAAAAATAGACTCTCATGATGCCAGCTGCCAGAAGTATGCCAGTCAGAGACTATGGCAATAACCCATTTTTGCCAGTTTCTATCAATAATGATTGATCAAGCAGCTATATCATTCATCCATACATACATGTAATTTAGGGCAGTGAAATATGATGCTCAGGTCCCAATTGGGTCAGAATCACTCATTTACATGTTTCATGCTAACTTGACCAGTTTTCCATCCTTCATTGAGTACATCGATGTATAGAATACATAATTGTGTTCAGATGTATTTACTTCAATTTGAATTTCAGATTTGTTAATGTACAGTGAAATTGTTGAAATATGAGAGAGAGAGAGAGAGAGAGAGAGAGAGAGAGTTTGAGCACTTGTATTGAATGACATTGAGAATGTACTGATGCATCTATACTGTAAAATATCTCCTGTTGGATCCACATCAGGTGATTGTTAACCTTGTGCGATAGTATTGAACTATGAACCCTACAGACAAGTAATTATTACATCTTTGTTCAGATACACAATTATCTAACATATAAAATGAATTGGAAGTTTGTTGAAATAATAACTTGACTGTATGATGTTGAGTTCAGGCAACATTCAAGTTTGTCAAGCAGTATATTGCATGCTCTAGCTTAATTAAGGCCTAATGTCCCTCTGTTTTAATTTCAAACAAAAAATTAACAATTACCAACATTGATTTTCATCAACACAAAAGCATTAGATTCAAATGGAATAAGGTTGAGGTATGAAGCAAGACTTACTTTTTCCAAAGTTAAATTTATGTTTAACCATGTTATGAAGAAAATTTTACACATTAAATAGAAAGAGCTCTAATTTATTATCACAGCATAAAATTAAAAATATTTAAAAATAATATTTAGTGTCATACATATTTTAAAAATTCATATCAGAAAACACAATGAAGCGTTGCTTTCTAAGTCGGAATGTATGCTTGTAAAAAAAAAAATGTGTTCTTCAGCAAGAGTTATCTTTCTTTAATCTTGTTAAGAAAAGTAACACTACTAATAAACAGCTCTGCATACCTGTAGTACATAATAAATTATGCAAGTTTTTTAGTTCTTGTAAAGAAATAGAAATATTTTAATTTGTGTAAAGAAAATAAATTGTGTGCAAATGTTTTAAGTTAGAAAACTATAAATAACTCTCAAATCTTCTAGCAATTAAATAAATACAAGTCAATGTTTGAAACATTTAAACTTCTTACCAAAAGGTGTAATAACTGTGTAAGAATATTACAGTTAATCAAGTAAACAGCTAAATAAGTTACACCTGATGAAACACATTTTCGGATATTTTTGGATTTATTTCTTTGTAAATTATCTCTTTTATCAGAGGGACATTAGATCTAAGTCCAAACTTTTTCTTGTGGAGGCTTCCATTCCATTTTTTTACTGACTGTATTGGAATGGTGTATAGGTAATTCATTGTAGGTGCTCTGACATGAAAACTGTAGATGAAGTACTTTTTTTTTGAGTGTTTAACATCTTTCTCCAATATTTCCATTATTATGAAAAACAGAATGTTGTTAGTGCTATTGTTAGTGTTATCATGAGAGAAATATAAAAAAAAAATTCCTGTATAAAATAGGGTTCTATACATTTTCAAACCTACATAATCCAGGCCACAGAAATCTTTAGTTTCTTAGACCAAAAAATTTCAAAATTAAATGTAGCAAGTTTTTATTTTAATTTTTTGTCTGTGATTTTTTAAAAGCAAGAGTTACCTTTCTTTTTCTTGTCTACTAAATCTAAACTTTTTTATTCTTGTATTAGTTGATATTCAATGAACTTCGACAGTGTTATACAAAAGTCTACTATAAGCTAATTGATAAAATATTGTTATAACAAGAAATACTGTATATTCAATTAGCTTTTTCTAAGTGGGCCAAGCATAGATGCACAAGAGAAATAACTCAATTTTCTTTGTAGAAAATGAGTTATTCCCCTTCTCAATACATGAATAAAATTGATCAATGAGGCAATGTTTGACCTAATGCGGCAGTGCATGGGAAACTTTAGATTAATTTTTTATGGCCTGTCATTGAGGTTATTTCATGAATTAACAAGTTCATACAAGCAAGATAGTGCAGTAATCTGGACTTATAAATTTTACTATTAAACAAGAAAAGGTAACTTTAACTTGAAAATGTGAAATGGAATTATTTAGAAAGCAATAATCCCTTATTATGCAAAATTAAGCAGTAACTGTGTAAATACAGCCATAGAAAATTAGATAAGGAATCAGGATGTGTACTTGGAACTAATTTGGCAGAACAAATAATCCCCATATACATGTGTGACTTGTTCACATTTTGCCGAGAGCGTTAGTGTTTACTGCTGACATTTTGTACCTATTAAAGAATTGAATGCTGAGCAAAAGCAATAAGATGGATGAATCTGAATGTTTGAGGAATGTTTGATAAAAATACTGAGATTTGTGATTGATGTCTTTCTGTTTTTTTTTTTTTTTTTTTTTTTTTTTTTTTTTTTTTTAATAAAATTTAAGAATTTGTTTCTGTAATATCTTCTCTTTGTTTATGTGTATTTACAGTATGTCCTCTCCTTACATTCCTTGTCACTTTTTACAGAACTCATTGAAATTTGGTAAAAAAAATTAAATCTCATAATCCCATTTCTCAAGAAAGTTGTATTAAGATTTTAAGTGTATTTTTTGCGACATTTATTGTTATTAATAGTGAAACAGTAAGCATGTTTCTTTCTCTGAAACTTTGTAGCTATAATCATATGCCTACATGCATCAGAATTGAACGTAGTAGTACAATGGCATGATTTATCAAGCCACCTGACATTTAGGATCGACAACCTTACAGATATCTTGATTTCATTGTAGTTGCTTTTAAAATGTTCTGACCTCAGACTGTGTGTCGTAGTCTGTCCTTTACCATTGTCTTTTCTGAGATTGCGTCCCTTTGATTTGTTATGTACATCTACCCTTGTTGCTAACAGTGAGAGCCTTTATGTATTGTTTGCAATATGGTGATATCAAAAAACTGTACGGAATAAAAGGCTTGCATCATTGTGTTATGAGAATAATAATGAAAAACAAGAATTTATTTTGTGTCTTGTGTTTTTACTAATCATACATTCTGAGTGCTAACTCATGATCACAGAAGAAACACAACAAACCAATGAAGGAAATATGTGGAGATAAGGAAGAGTATTAGAGTTCAAAAGTCCATTAAACATTACAAAATAGGAGCAGAGTAAACACGGACCTCTAAGACATCAGAGATGGGATCAGGTGCCATGGAGGAGTAAGCATCCCCTGCCAACCGGTCACACCCGCCGTGCTCCTTGTCATGATCGGGAAATAACGGAAAAATCCGTCGACAATTCAGTGTGTAAATAATGGCCTAACAATTAGTATGAAAAAATTCAGTCATGCAGCATTTGACTTGATGAAAGATTGTATTTACTGAAAAGGTCATTGTATCGACCATAGAACTTACGAAATGATGACTGTAATTCGTTTCATCAACTTGTTTATCAATACCTCGTTTTAGAAATTGTTCATACGTAGAGCATGCTCTGGCGTATCGAATCAGCTGAGAGATAGAAACTCCCTATGCAGGTGATAAGGGTATATTGCTGCATAAGTAAGTGAAGTTGACGATTGAAAAGTTAAAGTCATCACGTTTATCATAAAGCTTTGTTGTTAGATTACCATTAACGTCTTTTTCTAGTAAAATCTCCAAATATGATACAGATGTGTCAGACTCTGTGGTATCTTTTATCTCAAGCTCACCGGGATATAAGACCTAAGAATGGAAATAACCATTGTTAATTGACAAAACGTCGTCGATATATCTAAATGTCGAGTTGAAGGCCACAGCAAGTGTTTTCTTCTTTTCACTTAAAAGATTTTGAACAAATTCTGCTTCATATGAATACAAAATAGGCCTGCTTATAACGGGGCGCAATTGGTACCCATGAAAATTCCAACAGATTGTTGGAAGACCTGGTCTCCAAAAACCACATAGATATTGTCAATCAGAAACTCGAGCATCTTTTTAATGTCAACCTCAGAGTACTTGTGCATACAATCAGATTGTTTTTTAACAAAGTAATTTTGCAAATGACCAATGACAAGGTATGTAAATTTACGACTTCCATTTTTATTGAAAAAGCAGCTGTCAACGATGTCAGAAAGTCTGGACTTGAATTTATCGTGGGAAAAAATTGTATATAAAGTTGAAAAGTCTAAGTTTTTATGTTGTTGATTTTAGTAAAATTTTGTGATTTCAAATGTTCCAAAAGTTCCTTGGAATTTTTAGGTATCCACATCTAAAACGTTTAAATTCGGTAGGTTCATCATGTACATGTATGCTTATCATATTTTAGTGTCCTCTCTTTTTCTCTCGATTGATTTCTGAATATTCCATTTCTATTCAGACACGTTTGCATCACAATTGATATATATTTCTCTTCCTGCAGATAGCAAATAGTTTCATAATTGCCCATTTTACAACAGTCACATGAAGTGTATCCATATTACTGAAGATCATGTATTGAAGGAATAATAATCATGTAGTTTTTACATATGAAAATATGGGACAAGTAAATCCCCCCCCCCCCCCCATATATTATTATTTGGATTGGCATGAGCTTTCTTAAAGGTACAAATAGAAAGAATGATAGATATAAATGATATATATCAACGTTCCATGGAATAGTAGCCAACCCAGATTCCACAGAACGTCAGATCACTATCAGACAATTTACAATGAAAAATAAAAGTAAAAGCTGGCCCCAGGATCATGAAACGGATTTAAGTCAAATTTTCAATCGCCTGTAAAATGTTTATTAATTATTGAATTAATCACTAAATTTGCAGATAACAACACTTTTAAAGCAACATTGAAAATATTTTAATTTTGGTCTACGACATTTTAGTACATTAAGATTTTGACTAAAGCCTAAGATGTGTCATGATCCCAGGGCCGGATTTACATGTATCATATTGAATAAGATTCTGATCAAATATGGCCTGCCGTCAGTTTTAGAAATGATAAACTACTACATCAAGAACAAATCAAAGCTTAAATCTGAAGCTAGACAAGTGGTAGCATCGTATTGACACCAATAATTCGTAGAAGAAAAATAAAAATAAGGGCATTTAAATTTCTTGCACTAGAAAACATAAAACCTAGAAAACCACAGTTGGTGTGGACATCTTGTAAGCACAAGTCTAATGGAATGTTCATAAATCTAGTAAACAAAACGAATCGTGGACAGGGAAAAACAACGGACCCCTGAACACAAGAGGTGGGATCATGTGCCGAGGAGGAGGAAGCATCTCCTGTCGATCTGTCAAACCCGCCGTGAGCCCTATGTATTGATCAGGTATAGTAGGATTACTCCGTAGTCAAAGAAAGAGGGCGTACAAGGCGAGGACAATCCCCCGCTCTGAGACAATGTGTTTCTCAATTTTCAAAGTTCACGGAAAAGTTTCATATTTCTAAAATTATGTTTTCAGTAAAGTCATCTTCAACACTTTTGATTCATTTATTTTATGAAACGACTTATTAATTGATATTTTTTCTTCGTTGAAGTTGACAGTTAAGCATATTTAGTAGAAAATGGGTTTATTAAAGCCACAAAAAATGATTTTTGAATACGAATTCTAAATTATATTTGAAAATTTTCTACTCACTAAAACCCTAATGAGATGTCCCCTGTATATAATTATAATATCCCTTCTTGATATGTTTAAAGTTTTTACATTTGTAAAAAAAATTATATATTATCCTGTTCAGGCTACAAATAGCATGTTTTTTTGTATTTATTTCCACCTAGTAAATTCAAAATTTACATGATACAAATAACCCTTACTTTTACCCTTCTTAAATAACCAGTATATACATCATTGTTTTAACCAGAGACGTATTAGACGTATATTATACGTCTCTGCTTTAACAAACCTATAACTAACTTAACAACGGTTTTATAGAGCTTAAAATATCCTTTTGTTGCTTCTATTTGAAAATGTTTGAGATTAGTCTAATCTCAAACATTTTTGTGGCCTCTACTCCTACAATTTAAGGTACTTGGAAAAAAATACCCGATGTAGCATTTATCCGTTCGGAACATTTAACTTAATGACTTATTCGGAATACCTCGGTCTGTGTTTTCATTCACAACCAGGGTGTTTCGTCATACCTTACACGCTGGACATAAATCGTTTATCAAACCAGCATTTAAATATAACGTGTTCCTTCTCTAGTATATATAAAAAGACCAATCTAAGCGCACAAACTAAATAAAACTGAAGCTAACTCGACACATCTTAAACAGAAGGGAAATATTGGGGGCCATGGGTTTGCTTTTATCTAAATTAACGACTTTGTTCGAGTCTTTTTCCTCTGGATCACAAGCCAAAATTCTTATGCTTGGTTTAGATTCTGCAGGTAAGATAACAAAATTTTAAAATAAAATAATATTTTTTTTCTTTCAAAATTTTTGATGAATTAAAATTAATATAAATTACAAATTCGGATAAATTAATTCTTTCTTTCCTTACAAATGAAGAAAGTTTCATCTATTTAATTTTGAATTGAAATAGTAAAAAAAATACATAAATAAAAAATAAAAATAAATAGTAAAATTTAAGTAAAGGCATTTTTTTGTAGGAAAAACAACGATTTTGTACAAGATCAAGCTCAATGAGAATGTATGTACCATTCCCACCATAGGATTTAACGTGGAGACCGTGTCCCCAGTAAAGGGTGTGTCCTTTACGGTGTGGGACGTCGGGGGTCAGGGCAAAATTAGATCACTGTGGAACTACTACTACCAAGGAACAGAGGGTAAGCTTCTAAGAAACTTTATAGTTAGTACCCTAGATGCGCGCTTATTTTAGATTAGTGTTTTTTTTTTAGCTCACCTGAGCCGAAGGCTCAAGTGAGCTTTTCTGATCACATTTTGTCCGTCGTCCGTCCGTCCGTCTGTCCGTCTGTCCGTCTGTCTGTCTGTCTGTCCGTCCGTCTGTAAACTTTTCACATTTTTGACTTCTTCTCAAGAACCACTGGGCCAATTTTGACCAAACTTGGTACAAAGCATCCTTGGGTGAAGGGGAATTTAAATTGTTAAAATGAAGGGCCAAGTCCCCTCACAAGGGGAGATAATCAAGAGAAGACAAAAATAGGGTGGGGTCATTAAAAAATCTTCTTCTCAAGAACCACAGGGCCAGTAAAGCTGAAACTTATATGGAAGCATCCTGGGGTAGTGTAGATTCTAAATTGTTCAAATCATGACCCCCGGGGGTAGGGCGGGGCCACAATAGGGAATCAATGTTTTACATAGAAATATATAGGAAAAATCTTTAAAAATCTTCTTCTCAAGAACCACTGGGCCAGAAAAGCTGAAACTTATGTGGAAGCATCCTGGGGTAGTGTAGATTCTAAATTGTTTAAATCATGACCCCCGGGGGTAGGGCGGGGCCACAATAGGAAATACAAGTTTTACATTGAAATATATAGGAAAAATCTTTAAAAATCTTCTTCTCAAGAACCACTGGGCCAGAAAAGCTGAAACTTATGTGGAAGCATCCTGGGGTAGTGTAGATTCTAAATTGTTCAAATCATGACCCCCGGGGGTAGGGCGGGGCCACAATAGGAAATACAAGTCTTACATTGAAATATATAGGAAAAATCTTTAAAAATCTTCTTCTCAAGAACCACTGGGCCAGAAAAGCTGAAACTTATGTGGAAGCATCCTCAAGTAGTGTACACTCTAAATTATTCAAATCATGACCCAGGGGATAGGGCGGGGCCACAATAGGGGGAATCCCAAGTTTTACATTGAAATATATAGGAAAAATCTTTAAAAATCTTCTCAAGAACCACTGGACCAGAAAAACTGAAACTTATGTGGAAGCATCCTGGGGTAGTGTAGATTCTAAATTGTTCAAATCATGGCCCCTGGGGGAGGGTGGGGCCACAATAGGTATTACAAGGGGGGAGTCTGGTAATGAACAGCATGGCCAAAGTTACTCAGGTGAGCGATGTGGCCCATGGGCCTCTTGTTTTATTTGTGTTATGATATCATTCAAGAAAAAGTACAAACTTTGGACACGGTTTGGGCGAATGGATTTTACTATTTCATAATTTAATCTTCAGTTATCTGTTTTAGGTTTGGTATATGTGGTGGATAGTAATGATAGAGAAAGAATGAACGAGTCTCGAGAAGAACTTTTTAGAATCCTTCAAACAGACGAAATGAGAGGAGTTCCAGTTATGGTTATCGCTAACAAACAAGATCTTCCAAGTACGTCTTATCTTAAACTTTATAAACTTCATACATGTATATATCTATTATTTGTCATTGTATGTAAAAAAAATATAAGATTACTTAATCAATAAAATGCTTTCTTTGTTTCACGTTTGCGACCTTGCAGAGAATTTTTTTCTGCAATGATCATTACGCCCCGCAGTAAAAAGCATCGAAAGCCATTTCATTGTTTATATAGATCTATATAAATCATTTGTTTTAATAGTTCAACCCCTTGTTTAAAAATGTATTCATTCATTTTGTATACTTTATTATTATTCTATTAGTTTTCTACTTTATTGATAACATTTCTAACATTTGTACATTCATCTTTCAATGTAGACGTTCTAAGTACCGCTGAGGTGGCCGAAAGAATGTGCTTACATAAACTGACATCAAGAAAATGGTTCATCCAATCCGCATGCGCAACGACTGGAGAAGGGATTTACGATTCTATGCAAGAATTATCAACAATGGTCAAAGAATATAAGAAAGGACTGAAATGATCAAAACACGTTCAATTTATAAATGTGCCATCAAAAGCATCCACTGAAGTGTTCTAAGCAAGCCGTGTGAGTGTAACATGTATGTACGAAGACAGAAGGATGAAAATAAATGTTTTAACATTGGACACAGACTGATCAACATGCATTGAGCGTTGTGGTTCATTCTTTGGACCAGAAATTGCTCATACATGTACTAAAACGTTGTTGCACTTCGCCAGTACGATTTATACAAAAACAATGGTTGAAATGTACTTTGCTTCTCTTTTCCCATTTAACATGCATACCATTGGAAGAAATGTAAATTGTAGTCATCAAAAAATAATATTTATTATTTATATGTTTTGTGTTTGTAAAAAATATTTTATAAAAGTACCAATATTAAACTGTTGAGAGAATAATAATAGTACCTTTGAGTAGAATTTGAAATTATTTTCTACACATAACTGAAAGTACGATCAGCTGCAAATTTATTAATGGACGAGAAAAAATCAAATCGGGCAGAGATTAATGATAATAATTATAATACTGCTGTAGATTAAATTTGAGATATTTCAGACTTCCTTTTTCTTTTAAAAGTACATTCAATCAATGTTCCTAAATTATGTCTAAATTTGTTTAGGCTGAAGATTTCTTATTTGTATTTGTTTCAAAGCAAGACAAATAGACAATAAACTGATTTCATGTAAATGCATCAGAGAAAAATGAGATCATTCATTACATGTATATGATAACGTTGATTATTAAGATGGATTTTAATGGGGGAAAATGCTAATAGTTGAAGATTATACAGAAGTTGTTATGACTGATTGATTATATATTGTTTTACGTCCCATTCGAGAATTTTTCACTGATATAGAGACGTCACCAAATACCGGTGAAGGGCTTCAAATTTAGACCTTTACTCGACACTCAGGGCCATTGAGCAGTGGGGGATCTTTATGGTGCCAACGCCTGCCGTGACACGGGGCCTCAGTTTTTATGGTCTTAAAATAAAATTAATTGATGGTGTGACATTGTTGTGCTTCAGTTAAGGATTTTACAATGAGAAAGGATCATGATTTTTCTATTAACACCCACCCATGTAAATTATGATCTTCAATAGGATGATAAGTTGTTAAAATGTACAGCTGTATGGTAGTGGTACAGTAAAAAAGCTAAAATTTTACGACTTTTTCATTAGAAAAATGAAGGTCCTAGGCCAATAATTTAATTGAAATTTCCATTAATTTCAACAACATTCCCCCAAATCTGCTTGCCTGCAATTCTTATTAAATATTGTACCGCATCATTAATGAAATTATTTATATGAAGATACATGAACAAACATTACTAGTAATCATAGTCAAATGTCCAAATAAATAATACAAAGATCTAGAGAACACTGAAAACAGAGGCGGGATCAGGTGCCATGGAAGAGTGAGCATCTCCAGTAGACCGGTCAAACCCACTGTGTGACCCTTGTCATCATCGGTCAAACGAAAACAAATCCGTAGACAATATAGTGTGAAAAATTGAAAGATGTTAGTCAATATATTCGACCTAACGAAAGACTGTATTTGTGAACAAGGTCATTGAATTAGTCATAGAATATGCGAGATGTTCACTTTAAATGAGATTGTTGGTATCCTTGTAACAACTTAATTCTCAGTAGCCTGCCTCGTTTTAGAAATAATTGCCCGTACGTAGAAAATGCTCGAATCAGTTGGAATACATAAATCCCAAATGCAGTTGATAATAGTTTATTGCTACATAAATTAGGGAAGTTGACGCCACGATATAAAAGTTGAAGTAATCTCATTTATTATAAAGTTTAGATGTTATTTTCCATTATTGTCTTTCTCTAATAATACATCCAAATTAATACGAAACTGTTGTGTCAGACTCTGTGGTGTCTTTTTTCCTGAGTTCTTTATATCGAATCAACGTAGGAATGAAAATGAATATTGCTAATTCATAAAATATATTGTCGCTATATCCCAATTTCCATATGAAAGCCACAGCAATAAACTCCTTTTCATGTAGAAGATTTTGAATAAATTCTGCTTCATAAGAATACAAAAATAGTTAGTTATAAATACTTATAATGGGACACAATTAGCTCCAATGGTAAATCCAATAGATTTTGGAGACCTTGTCTCCAAATATTACATAGATTTGTCAATGAAAACTCAAAAATCTTTTTAATTTCAACCTCGGATTACCAGCGTGTAGAATCAGATTTTTTTTTAAACAAAATAAGTTTGCAGATGACTAATGACAGGTATGAAATTGCAGTCAGCTGCTGAAGATTCTGGGGGACTTGTGGGTGATGGCTAATACACATATCAACCTCATCCGAGAGATGCTCTATTGGCGATTGATCTGGTTTGTTTGGTGGTCATTCATATGGATCCACATTCTATGCATGCGGAATTTTACGACAGACAAGATCGAAATGCGACCAAGCATTATCTTGTCACTCGACGTGCTGTTAACCATAAGGCCCAGCTGGAGAAGGGAGACGACGTAGAGTGAATCTAGATTCGTCATGAAGAGAACCCTTCTTCATTGTTGCATACTGTAGCAAGAGTTGCATGACGCTGCAACCAATCAAATTGCGCCCTCCGTCTTACATCATTCAATGGTAGTCTCATGGTCTACTGGCTCTTATATCGAATTCTCGGAGACTGTTTTTAATGGTTCTCTCATTTAATTTAACTTCTTTGGAAATAGTTGCAGAAGTTACAACTGTCCTACCCCTATCACGCAAATGAGAGAGTCAGATTGGTCTATCTTCCCAGGGTGAAGTCATCCATGACCTACCACTTTGCAGACAGTAATTGATGTCATTGATTGTGTGATAGGCATTTCATCAATCATATTCAAGCATAATGTCCAAAATATGATATGTCTATGCGGGTTAAGTTTTGAAATTTAAACTGCAAAAACTTATGTTCAGTTGAAATACAGCGACCCTTTGCTTTTGCCAGCACCAAGTGTGTTCGAATAAAGTATACTTTTCGTGAAAAAATACAAAGAAATTAATTTCTGAAAATTGATGAACGATTGACTTCATCTGTGTTTTATCTCTAAAGATACCCTTGTCATGAACAAACTCTATGATACAGGTGGTATATTTGCATAATTAGAATTCAACCTCTGAAAAATTGATATACACCCGTATGCGTTTCTTTTTCCCTTTTAGTATAATGTTTCAGGAAGAAAGGTAACTTAAAAATCAATTCATGTAGAGTTTTTCTTCCTGATATATTTAAAATATATTAAAAGGGTGTATTCGGAATACCTCGGTTCTTGTGTCCATAATCACAAGGTCTTTCGCCATATCTTTCATGCTGGACAATGGATCATGTAAATGTTTAATCGAATATATGCACCAAGAGGGATATATAAATTTTGATATTTTTCTACTAATTTGACAGGAAATTAAAATAACATGGGTTTATTTGTATCGAAATTGACGAATCTATTCGAGTCTTTTTCTTCTGGATCACGTGCTAGAATCATTATGCTTGGTTTAGATAATGCAGGTATGATGAATTGTTGAAAGATTTTGTAAAATGTGAATTGTTGCGCATCTATATTTACTAAATTACGAAATTAATATATATTTTTTAAATTCATCCATTAGTTTTTACATTTTTTTTCTAAATTTACCTGTTAAATGTAAATTTTTCTGTTTATTTCCTGCTAAAATCGGAGATGATAATTTTTATTTGTAGGGAAAACGACGATTTTATATAAGCTTAAACTGAATGAGAAGATAAGTGATATACCAACTATAGGATTTAATGTGGAGACCCTGTCCCCTGTAAAGGGCGTGACCTTTACTGTGTTTGATGTTGGGGGTCAGGACAGGCTGCGGTCACTGTGGAGACACTACTACCAAGGATCAGAGGGTAGGTATAAGGACATTCTCTGTATTAATACAAAAAAATTACATATATGTGTCGTACACTTCCTACAAATTGAAACCTAACACTGTTAATTTTATAAGTTTGAAAGGTTAAAATAACCTTTTGGAATACTGACCGATAAGCAGGATTTATATGCCGAGAAATGTCATGAATTTAGTTTATTGATATCTCCTGTTGATAATTCAAGGCTTAGTGTATGTGGTGGATAGCAACGACAAAGAAAAGATAGCAGAATCAAGTAAAGAACTGTTTGGAATTTTACAAGATGACGAAATGAAGGGAGTCCCAGTGGTGATCATTGCTAACAAAAAAGATCTTCCAAGTATGTATTAATTTATAAACAAATTAAAAAGGAATCAAATCTCCATCAGAAATTTTATTTTTCGTTTTAATTAAATTTCTGTTTCAAACTTTTGATCAGTTTTTTTTAAAGTATGATAGAAATTGCATTTTACCATCGAAAACTAGCAAATGTATATGTTACGCTTAAAGCTATTTATACTCATTAGAACTAATAAAGTACACTGTAATCTTAAAACTACTTTAAGATGCTGTAAGTACCTCGGAGATGGCAGAAATGATGCGCTTGCACAGGTTGACCACACGAAAATGGTTCATTCAAGCAGCATGTGCAATAACAGGAGAGGGAATCTATGAGTCCATGAAGGAATTATCAACTATGGTCAAAGACTTTAAGAAAGAGAACTCTGATAAATCTTGATTCCCCTGATATCACATGTCTCAATGAAAACACCGCATTATCCTCTGTAGAGAGCTACCCATTATCAGCTGCTGAAACCATAATTGAAAGTATCATCTAGAATCCATAAAATTGTATACGGCACCAACAGAACATATCATGGATCAATTTTCAGCTTTAATTCATATATGATATCTCTATCATATTGATTATAATTATTAAATTTCAATACACGCTCCAAATTCCGCCAATGTAACAGGCCGGGAAAATAATACATGCGCAACAACAGTCATGTTCCATGCATACCATATGAGTGTAAAAAAAGCATAAGAATGAAATGTGTTTTAGATGAGATACTTAAACTGAATAATATGAGCGGCTGTGTCAGACACTCTCTCTCTTGTTGAGCTGGAAATTGCTCAGATCAATCTTGTTTGCATCTACATGTAACAATTATTCTGCAACTACAAATTAATGTCAACCACTACAGCGAAACATAACGATAACAGTCCTCTTTGTGTATTTGTTTTTCCCCAATTTTACGTTTGGAAGTATTGTAAATTGTGTTTTTAAAAAATATTCATTAAATTATATGTGTGTAAATATCTGATATCAGTATTGTTCGCTAATGTGTATTTGTCCTTTATAAAAAAACAAAAAACAAATAACTTCCTTATGTAATCTTAAACATTTGAGTGCGTTTTAACGAATAATAGATTTATCTGAGTCACATTTTCTACACAATCAAACCTGTCTGACTGAGCTTTGTATTTCTTGAGGCACTAATTTATTTAAACTCAGTCAAAGCTTCAAAAATAGTTAAATTTGACATTGTTTCACGATTAAGTGGACTTGAATAGAAGATACCACAGAGTCTGACAAATCTGATTCATATTTGGATATTTTACTAGAAAAATACGTAAATGGTAACCTAACACAAAACTTTATGATAAACGTGATGACTTTAACTTTACTAATGTAATTTCCCTTACTTATGTAGCAATATACCCCTATCACCTGCATATGAGGTTTAGATCTCCCAGTTGATTCAATACGCAAGAGCATGCTCCATTTATGATCAATTTCTAAAAGGAGGCAAGCTATTGACAAACACGTTGATGAAACAAGGATATCAACAGTCTCGTTTAAAGTCATCATTTCGCAAATTCTATGGTCGAAACAATGACCTTGTCAGCAAATACAATCTATCATTAGGTCGGCTGACTTTTTTCATACTACAGTTTAGGCTATTATTTAAACACTGAATTGCCTATGGATTTTTTCGTTTGCCCGATCATGACAATGTTCACACGGCAAGTGTGACTGGTCGACAGGGAATGCTTACTCCTCCATGGCACCTGATCCCACCTCTGATGTTTTTTCAGAGATCCGTGTTTGCTCTATTCCCGATTTGTATTGTTTCAGTGGACTTTTAAGTTTGATAACTGTTCGTTATCCCCATATTTCATATAAAGCGTTTCAACTAATCATTTTGAGTCACCTTGATTCTCAAAAGGTTTGTTTTACTAACAAGTTCTTATTTTGCATCAGATTTCTTAATACAGTTATTCAATATATAACAAGCAATTTATATCATAACAAATATATTGTACTTTAAATTACCTTTTGTGTATAGTAGATATTCGTGGGTAATTAGTTTAGTAAATTACTGATATTGCAAAAAATCTGATGCTCTCTGTTAGGTTACATTAAGATGAACATCACTATGAAATGTTCTTTGTTCAGAGTGCGTTACTGGAGTACCACTAAAGCTAGTCTCTTGTTAGTTATAAAAAATTACATATCTCAGTTTGTGCTCTTTACGTTCATACGTCTTCCAATGTTTTCCTTCTAATCACATGACTATCTCTTCAATATTCATGAATTGTGTGTTTTAAAGCAGAAAATACATATTTTAACCACAAGCCACGATTTATTTAATGTGATCATTAATGATTTTTTCAATTCTATGATCGATACAATATCTTTGTTTGTAAATAGTCTTTCGTCAGGTCAAATATTGATTAACGTATTTCATTTTCACATTGAATTGTCTACGGATTTTTCCTTTTACTCGATGAAGAGAAGGGGCACACAACGGTTGTGACTGGTCGAAAGGGGATGCTTACTCCCCTTTAATTTATTACTTGATCCCACCATACACCTATTTTCAGACGTTGCGTTGGCTCTGTTCTTAATATGGTTTTATTTCAATGGACTTCTAATAATGATCATTGTTAGTTATCTTCACATTTCAAAAAAGAAATAAATATCTCTTTAAATTAGAAAGATGTGCAATGTATCTTATTTCTTATAGATACTTCTTTTGACCTAAAGTGATATCTCTTAAACTTAGAAAGATTACCTTTAAATGTTTAAGTATAGAGAGAAATGTTTATAATCTGGAGCGGTATCTCTCAAAGAGAAGGAGTCTGTTCGTTCATTTTATTTATATAGTTCATACGGTTAGAAAACATCCCTCTATTATATACCGTTTACCTTAAACACCCAATTTTGTGTTAACGCCCCCAAAATCTACCTGGTTCAAGATCAATAATATACCGCCTGTCAATCATAAATAAAACAATAGCTACTGATCTGATTGACAGGCCAGCTACCGGTGCTACCTGATGTTCTGATATTGGATGTTTCGATAACAATTACCTGACTACGCGACAACCTCTTTTCTGTGCCCCGCTTGATTTGTCGCTTGGGTCCACAGAAACTCAATTCAGTAACAATATAGCGACACCCCCCCCCCCCCCCAATAAAATGAATCAACACAAAATGGAATAAAATAATTGACAGAAGATAATTAGACACTGATGGCATGAAATAAGTTTGAAAATTATGAAGATTCCTTTTAAATTATCACAGGTTTAATCTGTAAAAGCAGATGTTTAAAAAAAACTCACAAATGGTACACGTTACGTAAATATTGTATTTCGTGTACAATAAATTGGGGATTATTTTTAAATTGCACTATCTTCGGATGGTATTTATTTTATTGAAGAAATTTAGATTACAAAAATTGGCAATAATTCTTCACCACGTAGTGGAAGAAATGTCATAATCATAGTTCGAATTTCCTCTAAATTCCTTATTCGTAAATGAACATCATGGGCACCAGTGTCGGTCAGGGAAATCAATAATTTCTAGATTGTTAATGTACTGAAGAGAAATGGAACTTTTTTTCAATATTTACACGTACAATATACCTTGTAATTATTTTTTACTGACAATTAAAAAATCATTGATATGATTGCTTTGTAGCTTACAATCTAGTTTTTTTAATATAATTTTTAGTAAAAGGATATTTCTTTATTCATGATATTTTTTTTATCAAAATTTTCGATGAAAATGTTGAGATTATCAAGTTCGTGCAAAAGCATTATTTGGTTTCATCACTGTTTCACTCAGAATTAGACAAGAAACGTGTGTAATGTTGGCCATGATCACCATAAAGACTTCCTGTATAATGCAATGTGTATATGAATTTTTGGCATCTTGAGTATTAGGGCACTCCAGGTAAATAACATCTGTACTAATAAGACCACTCCCTCTTCTCAGGTAACCGTACGGTAAAAAAATTGGGTCTTCAAATAGCGTTTTTATTACAAATATACGAGGTAAATAAATTTGTTTTTGTTTGTTTGTTTATTGTTTAACGTCCCTCTCGAGAATTTTTCACTCATATGGAGACGCCACCGCTTGCCGGTGGAGAGTTGCAAATTTTGACTTATACTCGGCACTCAGGGCCATTGAGCAGTGAGGGATCTTTTTCGTGCCAACATCTGCTGAGACAAGGGTCCTCGGTTTATACGGTCTCATCCGAAGGGCCGGTCTCCACGTCCCACAGTGGAAATAAATTTGTTAGATGGTTGATATTTAAAATATACCCTAGCCTTTTCACAGAATCCGAACAAGAAGTTTCTGGTAGGCTATATAAAAATGAACATCAATACAACAGACAGGAATCGAATGAATGGAACTTTTTATGGTATTCATTGATTAAATGAGGTTAATAATCATTTGATAACTGAGAGTAATAAATCAGAAATAGTTGTAATTAAGTTGAGTTTTTTTTCTATATGAAAAACAATTATTAACTATAGCTTACTAGACGTTACGCGTGATGTTGGTGATGTTTGACGTTATTTTTTAGGATGCTACGGAAAAATTGACGTAACACTTTTCATAGTGTTACAGCTTGATTGGTACGCTATCTCTTTGTACTTTAAATAGGAGCTTAAAATGTAACGTGTTACACGCTTAAGATACCTTTTATTTGCGCTGTAAAATTCTATATTTTGTACAAAATTTATTAAGTTGTTATTTTATGACTGGAACCGGGTAGTTCTGTTCAATACCTATCGATCCAAACCAAAATTACCCATATTGCGTTTTTTTTTTTTTTTCTTTTGTTTTGTTTATTTGTTTTTTTGTGGTTTTTATTAAATCACTGATGGGTTTAGCTCTGGTACTAAAATTGTAAAATAGCCTCAACATCGCGAGTCCTTTTATTTAGTACATGTATTGGATTGTTGATGGCAAACTTACTTGTGTCACTGAAAGACCTCAGGCTAGGACGCGGCTTAGATACAGCAGCTGCCGTCGTCAAATGGTCGTTTATGGGCTTCTTGACTTGGATGCGCTTTGAAATTTCGTTTTCAATATAATTTCTTCTCAAAAATTTTTTTAAGAAAATACTTTTTCTGCACGCAAATGCTCAAAATAGGGAAGTATTTTATCGAATTCCTATGAGAGCTATCGTTCTTTGACAAACAAAACCAAATAGACGAATTTCCTGATTATGCCTCATCATTGTAAAACGGTTTTCCAGATATCTCAAGTTACAGTAACTTGTAATATCCAGTATCAAAATTTTGTCACTTTAACCAGATTTTACTCTATCTTAAGTATGCTGTTTATCTAAAATATGTGATTTATTTATTTATTTGGCAAATAATTATACTTCACTCACTTGTCTGACATCTTAAAAAGGTCGCAACCTTCACATTTTTTTGTGATCATTAATCACATTTAAATATATAAGTGGAAATAAATGCAGTTTTATACTTCGAATCCATGAAAGTGCGAGGAGATTTAAAATATATACAATGTATATAAACAGTTAAAATTTGACAAATAAATTTCGCTGAAAATAAATAATCTTCATATATATCTTCCTTCCGGTATGGTTAACTAGGGATTATGTTATTGAGACATTTATACGAACCACCTTGATCGGTGTTTTCATTCAGAAGCTGGTGTTTTGTCATACTTTACACGCTGGAAATAAAAAGTTCATCAAACCAGCACTTCAGTGTAAAATGTTCCTGGTACATGTATTTTATATAAGGACTCCAATCAATGCAATAACTAAATAAAGGTAAGATTTAAACCAACAATCTAATTACTATGGTCCATGGGTTTACTTTTATCTAAATTAACGATTCTATTGGAGTCTTTTTCCTTTAGATCACCTGCCAAAATTCTTATACTTGGCTTAGATGCTGCACTTTTAACAAAATTTAAAAATAATTAATGATTTTCTTAAAAGTTTTGTTCTGTGCTTAAGAAAATGTTTTTGATAAATGTAATTTTATGTTTTTGTTGTTGCTTAACATCCCTCTCGAGAATTTTTCACTTATATGGAGACGCCAAAACAAACCGATAGAGGGCTGCGAATTTAAACCTATGTTCGGCACAAAGGGCCATTGAGCAATGAGTGATCTTTTTAGTGCCAGCACCTTACTGCGACATGGGACCTCGGTTTATAAGGTCTAATCCGAAGGACCGATCTCCACGTCCCGCAATGGGATTCGAACCTGCGAAGTAAGGATCGACTCCTTATACTCTAGAGCAAACGCTCTAACAACTGCGCAACGTGGGCGACAAATGTAAATTTAAGGATCGATTTAAAATAGAGGCCTATGGCCCACAATGCTCATTTGAATCACAGCTTGGCCCTTTGAAGAAGATAAATATTAGAACCTCATTATATTCCTGAAATTTTTGGGCCTCTTATTGTGACTCCACCCTAGCAACAAGGTGTTATGACATAACACAGAACTCGAATCTACGCTTCATGGGGGATATCCAAATTTCAAATATGAGTAAAAGGCCTACTGTTCCTTGGAATTTTTTTTTTTGCCCCTACATACATTTATTGGGTAAAAATTAGGGATGGCAATCGAATACAGAATTACTAATCGGTTAACCAAAAGACGTTCCGACCGATTAATCGGTTAATCGTATCAAAATACACATTTTCTTTATATTTTATTTTTTACAGATTTTCTAACCGATTACCATCGTTCCGACCGAGTAACCGGTTAACCGATTACAAATTGCCATCCCTAGTAAAAACCCCTGAGTCCATAATTTGAAGAAAGACTTGACTTAACAAATCCTAGCAATATTTGCATATGAATACATTTTAATGTGCCCCTACTACTACTCTTGAGTAGAAATGAGTAGATAGATTTATTCATTTATTTGCTTGTAGGAAAACCAGCAATATTTTACAGACTTAATCTCAGAGACAACCAAACAACCATTCCTACCATGGGATTTGACGTGGGGACCGTGTCCCCAGTAAAGGGTGTGTCCTTTACCGTGTGGGACCTAGGTGGTCGAGACAGAATGAGATCACTCTGGAAGTACTACTACCAAAACAGAGGGTATAAGTTTCTAAGACTGATTTAGATTTATATTAACTCATAAAGATTAGAATTTTTAATGCGTGTACAAAAGGACACTTGGGAAAACAAAAATGAACTATAATAAATCTAATTTTGACAACCAATATAGGCGATCAATGGATCTCCTTGTTGTCGCGATTCAATACACATGTATCTGTTTTAGGATTGGTTTACGTGGTGGATAGTGGATATCGTGATAGAATCACAGAGTCTCGAGAGGAACTCTTTAATGTCCTACAAAACGAGGAGATGACGGGAGTCCCTGTGATGATTATTGCTAACAAACAAGATCTCTCAAGTATTTAGATCTTAAACTTTTTATATCTTTTTGGTATTATGAAAAGACTTATGAAAATTGGAATCAGATAATTGCAGGTATTACAAGAAAATATAAATCAATTCACTTACCCGTAGAATTTTAAACAATTGAAGATATTTTCAATGTAGATCCTTTAGGTACTTCTGAGATAGCAGATATGATGTGCTTACACATACTGACGCCCCGAAAATGGTCTATTCGATCCGCATGCGCAACAACAGGGGAAGGAATCTTCGATGCTATGCAAGAATTAGCAACGATGATCAAAGAATATAAAAGGGAGAGAGTAAAACAAGTTAAATGAATATAACAAATAAAATATGTTCTTGATTCAAGTGTACCAATCAATGTGAAGCTTATAATGATGAACAAAAAATATATTTAAGATGGGTGTCATAGATTTATACTTTTAATGTGAAATATTCAGTTCATTTTGATTATTTATGCCAATATCAATTGGACTAGTTTGGTAAATTATTTGAAGTTGTTAATTTCCTTCATAATTTATGTCAGAATGTTAAATAAATACTGTCTTGCTTGATTACCAAAGTTTTGTATTGTTAAAGTTAAGTATTGTTTATAAATCTGTTTTCCCCTTCATTTTAATTTTCATGTTACCCGTAGCTATGCAACTAGACACCTTATTGTAACTTACTGAATGCAAGCAAGCAAAATCTCGATTTAATAGATAGGGTAAAACAATATTTAAACCCTATATACTGTACGTGTACATAAATAGGCGTATTCAAAATTTAGCACAATCACTGGGTACATGTATGGAGTTGTTGGCGGTATTCATGAATTAGCGGTACACATACAGTATATATATATATATATATATATATATATATATATATATATATATATATATATATATATATATATATATATATATATATATATATATATATATATATATATATATAAATTGTCAAATTTTCGGGACAACCTGTCCCTTACTCAGGACAAAGAAAAAAGTTAAGAAGTCATAAAAACAAAGGAAACAGAGAAACAAAAACAACTAGCACTACTACTAAACTACCAAACACTTAATATTTACAGTGTTACATGTTTAATTTGAAGTTTATAAATCCGCAGAGCTATGAATTGCGTCCGGTCTATCGGGTGTACTCTGGTGTGAGAAAGGTGAAAAGCTTTTTTCGATCAGGGGAAATATTGAGGATGGAAATATTATTTGAATTTGATTAAATGGACAAAATGTACAAATGAAACTTTCTGAAATCAAAGTTAAAAACGTGTGACAGTACATAAACTATTAGACTGCTTGATAGTACAAAAAAATTTATATATCTATATCTATATCTATATATATATATATACTAGTATATGTTCTGGATCTTACAGCATTTGGAGAGAAAAATGTTGGGGCACTATTTTTTGAATAAATAACATCATGATTTTGGTAAAACTTACTTTGTCAGCAGTTTAGCAAATAGTGCAAGAGGTTTTCTTATTGGAGTTCAAAAAATGAATTACAAAACTTAAGTAGACATATTAAATAGGCAATAAAGGTCTTTAAAAAGATTGGCCGAACTCAAATAAACATGTAAAAGAAAACTGAGAAAGTGTGCAAAAGTTATAGCCTTAGAGCAATTCATAGACATCTACAGATATCCTACCTTATATCCATCAGCCCAATTCGATGTCATGAATTTCAATCTTAGAAAACATTTGTTCAGTATCAAGAAAATAATAATGAACAATTAGCAGCCAAACCTTATTCTCAACACAAACTACCAAAAATCAAGGCCCTATTACTAATTTCAGTTATTATCCCATCACTCTATGTGGTTATGATCCCTTAACATTTTAGAACAAAACCAATACAATCCAAAAGACAAATTATTGAGAGAAAAAAAATTGAAAAATATCCCTAGTTACAAAAGTTCTGGAACTTACTAGTATCAAATTAAAAGATTGGAAATCGACAATTACTCTCAATAATTCATAAAACAATTCTTAAACAAACTTAGACAAACTCTCATTTTGAAAGTTAGATAAGGGAATAAGAGGATATCAACGTTCAAGAGAATATAAATTTTAGCCATCAGCCTTATATCGAAAACCCAAAAGATTTTTGGTTGAATAAATTAAAGGGGAAAATTATAAAATTGTTTTTCAAGAGAAAATTTATATTTGGACAAAAATGTTAGTCGATACAATTCTAAGAACAAATTCCTGATTATGTAGGGCTTGAGAAAAGCCAAAAATTAGAAATCTGATTAAGAGTTTCTCATTGCAGATAAGTCTTGCAGAGGACATAGTTATTTCTCACAAATGTGAGTATGTAGATTTTAGCCCCAGCTTTGATAATAAAATTTTCATAAGAACCAAAAATCGATTGAAACCCTATAAACAAAAACGTGAAATATTGATTCGAAAAATCATTTTAAAGTATCTGAATTTCTCCTTCCTGATATACCTCAAGATAATAAAATATAGATGTGTTCATTCAGAACATTACTTCCTGTATGTTAGTGAACAAAAAGTTATTTTGTCATACCTTCCACGCTGGACAAGCCAGCGTTTAAATAATTTATGTAAATTATACCATGTGATAGACCTGGTATATATTTATGTATGGCTACAAGGATGTATGGATTTAGAGAATAATAATCTGAGATCGTCTATTATTCGACATAGGGAAATAAAAAAGTATGGGTCCACTTTTATCAAAATTAACGGCTCTGTTTTCTTCTGGATCACCAGCCAAAATTCTTATGCTTGGTTTAGATGCTGCAGGTATAATCTGTTTTCTTTTCTTTAAAAATTTTAAAACCACTTTTTTAAATTATAACATTTTAAAGCATTTATTCAATTTTTTTTTAAATCTAATTAAACTGATGTTTTAAATATTTTGTTTGAGAATTTCTATTTTATACACTAATTGATTAATTATTGAATACTTTTACAATAATATCTTCTTGGATGTTAAATTGCTGACCCCCCCCCCCCCTTGATTTAAGTAGAGGCCATTTTCATTTGTAGGGAAAACAACGATTTTGTACAAGATTAAACTAAATGAGAATGTATGCACCATTCCTACCATCGGATTTAATGTGGAGACCGTGTCCCCAATAAAGGGCGTGTCCTTTACGGTGTGGGACATCGCGGGACAGGACAGGTTCCGACAACTGTGGAGATACTACTACCAAGCAACAGAAGGTGAGGAACCGCATTTTATTATCCTATTTGATCCCTTAACGTTCTACGGAGGACTAATACATTTATAATCTTAAATTGGTTAATCCTTTAAAATTGCTTGTATACCGGCAGACAAACATGTACAATTTATAAGCCAAGAAAGACATTTCATTGATATACATTTGTAGCAAATAAATATCCTTTTGTTAAATTTAGGCTTAGTGTATGTTGTGGACAGCAACGATAGAGAAAGAATTGCCGAGGCACGCGAAGAACTATTTGGAATCCTACAATGTGAGGAAATGAGGGGAGTCCCAGTGGTGATAATTGCTAATAAGCAAGATCTTCCAAGTATATATATTTTTTACCTTTTCAGTACCTTTTGAATCAAAATGAGAGTATTATTTCCTGCATTTAAATCGATTTTACTTTCAAATATCCATTTATTAAATTTACCTTGCATCATTCATGTCATTATTTCATAGTACAACCTAACAAAACAAGGAAAATTGTAGCCAAATAGAATTTGGACAAACGAACCTGCCTCGTTTAACTAGCCCGATTGTAAATGAATCTTGAAATGCATAAAATAATCACTGGTACAAGGAACACATGTCCTCTACACAGCACTAACCCAAATCCAAATTATACTGCCCCAAGACCGGCGGGCCATCAATTATTTCAAGCCTTGTTTTCAACAATAATATCTATAGTTATTACTTTCCCAAAAGTAATTAATAAAAGCACTTTTTAGGTATGTTTACAGCTGTCTTTGTTTGCAAATGTTTAACAGGAACAGAATCATGTTAAATTAAAAAGAAAATCAAGAGGTCAAATACAGTTAATCATGACAGAATTAATACGGAGAAGGAAGTCTATTATATTTACTTTCTTTAAATAAAAATGAATTCATGTTTGTATAATTTTTTTCTGTTTATTTGTTATCGATCAACATCTACCATATCAACAAAGTTGCATTTTCATTTAGTCAGTTAATTAGGATCCAAAATTGAACAAGAGGCCCATGGACCACATAGTTCAGTTCAGTATTGAACGGGGGAGGGGGGTAATTTACACTACTTCAGGATGCTTACGTATCAATATTATTAATCATGGCTTTGCTGTTCTTAAACAGAAGAATTTTAAAGATTTTCCCCCATGTTTTCTTACGTAAAAATCTGATCTCTCATTGTACCCCCACCCTACCAATCCTAAATTTAAACAAATTTGAATCTACACTACCTGAGGATGCTTCCATAATAATAGGACTAATTATGGCTTTGCTGTTCTTGAGCACAAGATTTTTTCAAGATGATTCCTATATATTCTTATGCAAAACTTTGACCCTCTGTTGTGCCCCCAAACCCCTGGGGGTCATGATTTGAACAAACGATTCCACAATACCTAAGGTTGCTCCTGTATAAATATGACTAATAATGGCTTAGTTGTTCTTGAAAAGATTTTGAAGATATTTCCTATGTAACATGTTTGATCAGGTTCTTACAAGAGATATATAGGTTTTCCTTTAACTATGTCTGAGTTAATGATTGGAATGATTATTAAGACACCTCTGTCTGAGGGTATATCACACAATACTTAAATTTTCTCTTATCTAGAGACGGGGACAGGGTAGGGTACTACTTGCACCATGTTTCTCCCCTAAGTTCTCATTGATAGATAAGAACCGGATGTCTCAATCTTCTTCAGATTAACTACACCCAGAACTAAACATCAATTCCCTAGGATACCGGTACTTGACGTGGTTTTTTAAGAACTTTTATACTTTTGTTTTGCTCTTACCCTTGTTTTCAATCCTCAACCCTTAAATGTCCATCACGTACATAATACTCTGATATTAATTTAAAGTATTTTACAGTAGAAAGGATTTACCAAGAGAAAGTTTCAAAAATGTAATTAACTAAGCAGTAATTAATTAACAAAGATTACATTGAAGTCTGTGGGGACAAGCATTTTTTTAAAAATAAAAATCAAATAATAAGAATATCAATAAATACTCTGGTGGAAAGATGCATTAAAACATCAGAAATAGAATGACAATTGAAAACGATTTTATTTTTACCAGATAAGTTTTTTTTTAAATTGATTTTTTTTCATTAAGGAGGGATTCTTGTCTGGTTTCTGACTAGATGAAATATTAAAAGTATATTTGCTTATATGTTTTAAATATTTAGATGTAAGAGATTTAAAAGATGATATTTTTCTTTCCTCATCACAATTGTACAACTTTAATTAGAAATGGTAAACTGAGTTTGAAATCTAGCAGGGACTATACTTTTGACGGAATGACGGCGTATGAAAATATCTTCTTTTCTGCCTCTCAAAATAATTAAAGAACAATGAATTTAGTTATAATTTTTACACAATTGAAGACTTGGAGAAAATTTTTAAATGTAAGTTAAATTAATAATAAGGGACTAAAGTTTTAAAATATATCAAATAAATATGATTTTCCAAACAAAGTACAATTTGTTAGCTTTTAAAAGCTTCCAATCTAAGTTCAGATTTGAGCCAAAAATCCGTAAAAAGTGTTTTTTCTCTCTTAGTAAACGGTAAAAACATTTTGTTTTTATATTATTTTGAATCTTTATGTGACAACTTTTCCATATGTGAAAATAAGAAAAATTTAAATATAGGAAGCATATAAAAACAACTAAAATATCTTTAAATTTTAAGAAAAATAGAGAAAATTCGGATTAGCCAATATCCATTTTAGTTAAATTATTTATGTCAATTTGGTAATATCATCTAATAGATCCTATATGGTAATATCTCTTTATGCAAAAAGAAAAATATTTTATTTATTGAAATAGAAGTAGGCATCGCATGATTTGCAACAGTATTTTTTTATTCTTAATGTCCAGGGAAAAGGTACTGACCTTGACCTGACCTTGCCTCTAATATAAAACGGTCAAATTTAATCTAACTAATACCATCACTTAGTGATATTGGGTTCTTGATTCTCTGAAAATTATATTGATTTTTAAATATAAGAAATAAGTGTTCTTAAGAGAAGAATCCCTCCTTAATCAGAACAGAGGGAGATAACTCTTAACAAAATTCAAGGTCATAAATTAGGACACATCTCACTCTTACATGCTTATTGTAATAAATGGGAATTATGTCTAAATATAGTGAGTATTCAACACATACATATCTGTTATATATTCAATTTCATTGAATCTGTTGCTATTAGAGATGGAATACCTTAGCTTCTTTATTGCTGATTCAACATCCAAATTCATCAGCTACTTCTGAATGCCTGACTTTCCCAAAGTTTTGTCTTACTAGATGAAATCCCGCGCAAGCGCGGGGAATTGAATTTATACCACTACCGACTGAAAATATATTATAGTTTCTACTGACAGCCTACAGACTTATAGCAGGAAAACATATTTTGTTCAAAATCCCGCATGAAGTAGATGTACGTCTCCACCACCCCCCCTTTTTTAAAAACTTGAAAAATAACAATTTTATTAATTGACGTTTATTGTGAAACCTGTGTTATGGACATTGAACTTCAGATGCTCTTATTTCATTTCCGTCAAGGATAAAAGCAGCCAGTATGCACATTTTACTGATTGATTTTTTTTTTTTTTGGGGGGGGGGGGGGATTAACAGGTACTTGGGTCTTGGCTTATAAACATGTTTGTACCTTATTGATACGTTAAAAATGTACTTTAATTACTTTTCCTTTTTTACATATCAATAAGGTACATACATATTTATAAACCAAGACCCAAGTACCTGTGTAAAAATGAGCTTTTAACGCCCTATGAATAGGCCGAGTATTTGATACAAAAGACTGTATTCAGAAAAAAAAAACTGGAATGTATTGATTAAAGCACAAAATTTTACATCTTTAGTTGTATTTGAACAATATCTTATTCATTAATTTTTTTTCTTTTCATGTAAGCAAGTTTATTACGAAGTACAGATTGTACTTCGGGTTCGTTGCCATGATGCCCTCAGTAAGGAATATAGCCTATATATACAAATTTTACCGATAAATTTATTAGGAAAACCTACTACATACATGTATAATAATAGTCTTTCGATATATAAATATATTCACAACTAATAGTGTTATCAATGATTTACCATTATTTCAATGACTATTCACACAAAAGCTTTTTTTAGTTATGCAGTAGTAATCGCCTCGTTTTTCTTTTTAACATCGGGCTCGATGCTATATGATGTTCTAGAAGCTTCCGTCAATATTAAGATCAGTGAATGACGAAAATAATTTGCACGTTTCCCTTTATAATCGGTTATCACAAATTATTTCTTTTATATCATTTAAATTAAGTTTTGATTGAATAATTCAGTGATGACGTTTTATGAAATAAATAAACGATTGCTTGTTGTCAGTGTCATTAAAAATTGCCAGTAACTTAGATCCGCCAACCGGAAACGCCACCGTTCTCACGTTTTTGCTATTTCATGGCTGTTTATAGAAATTGAAAGTAGACTTTTGATTTAATGTACGATACTTACTATGCGAATGAAATCTAAATATAGTTTACGGACATCATCTTGTATCTAGTTTATTGTTAGAGGGGTAAGTAAAAACTCTGGTGTACCCGTTTCGGAGTTTATTTGCAAAATTTATTAATTTATAAGTATAGATACACCATTTGGTTTGGCTCGTCCATTCCAAGGGTTGTCAGGTTATTCCACTATATGAAGTCTTCAATGCGTTTTACTCAAATGCCCCTAACCATTACACCTATATATTCCTATGTAAAACTTTGATCCACTGTTTTGGCCCCGCCCTACCCCCATGGGTCATGATTTGAAAAAAAAACTTGAATCTACACTACATGAGGATACTTCTGTATTAAAGGGACCTTGACACAGTTGCATTGTTTGCATTTTAAATTTCTATGCCTCTTCAAATAATAAAACCAATTAAATGAATTGAAATTACATGGTTATTCTTAGAATGCAATGGAAATGAAATTCTTCTTTACATCACGTCAAATACCTGTTTTTGTAAACATGGCACGAGCTCTGTTTTTGTTAATGTTTACGTTTCACCGGGTGTGTTAAATTTGTTAAACTCTGCACACATCAATGAGCACGGACTGACAACACTGGTGAGTTGATTTTGCTTTCTCACACCTCTACTCTGAATCTTCTGGATTATAGTTTTATATTTTTCATTAATACACAACAAAATTTCTACTTTTCTTAGTATTAAGGATAAAGTTTACTTTCTGAAAGTGCAAGAGTGTGTCAACAACCAAACGTATCCCGAAATTCGTAGTTTCAATGATTTCCAGATAAAAGAGGTTTCTGAACACGCTTTTATTTAATTTCCGTGTGAAATCCTACAGCAAAATATAAGTCATATCATACAGAAAAATTGAGAAAATATTAGCTTCAAATCTGTGTCCAGGCCCCTTTAAAATGACTAATAATGGCTTAGCTGTTCTTGAGAAGAAGATTTTTAAAGATATTTCCTAAATATTCCTATGGTAAACGTTGACCCCCTTTTGTGGCCCTGCCATACCCCCAGGGGTCATGATTGGAACAAACTTTAGTATACACTACCTGAGGATACTTCTATCATGAGTAATCATGGCTTTGCTGATCTCGAGAAAATGATTTTTAAAGACATTTCCTATATATTCCTGTGTAAAAATTCGACCCCATCTTGTGGCCCTGCCCTACCCCCGGGAGTTATGAACAAACTTGAATCTAGGGTATGTAATGGAGCTTTCACCTAAGTTTCATCTTTTCTTGCCCAGTGGTTCTAGAGAAGATTTTTAAATGATGCCACCAAATTTTTACGAATTCTTAATTATCTTTCCTTGAAAGAGGATGCGGCACTTCCTGTGAACAAACTTTAATCCTCTTCACCCAAGGATGCTTTATGGCAAGTTTGTTTGAAATTGGCTAAGTGGTTCTTGAGAAGAAGTCGAAAATGTGAAAAGTTTACAGACTATGGACATCAGACGACAGACGGACACCGGACACTCTTTGATCAGAAAAGCTCACTTGAGCCTTCAGCTCAGGTGAGCTAAAATGGAGTCTTTGGTCATTGAATGAAGATCTAATGCAACTAGGGCGATCGGATGCTTTTTTTGACAATATAGGCTAATAAAAACATTATATACATGAGAAAATATCAAATATTTTCAGTAGATTGATCAAAATAAACTTAAATTTAGCCACAATAACAAAAGTATGTGAAGAAAGTAAAATAAAATGCACCAGGAAATGCACAATGCTCTCTAAATGACAAACCTTGAATTGATGATCATATAAATCCGATCTTGACGTTTTCAATAATTGCTGAATTATTTACCTATACTTTCTTAATAATTGACATAAACATAAGGCTAACATAGTCGTCTTCCCCTGATCCTTTTAAACTCTATTTTCTTTGCCTCTTTAGCTCACCTGATCCTTTTTTAGAGCTATTTTCTTTGCCTCTGTAGCTATGCGGAACGAAATAATTATAAATTTTATTTATATTGTAGACGCTCTTAGTCCCTCTGAAGTGGCAGAAATGATGTGTTTGCACAAGCTGACGTCACGAAAATGGTACATTCAATCCGCATGTGCGACAACTGGCGAGGGAATCTATGAGTCTATGAGAGAATTATCAACAATGGTCCAAGACTTCAAGAAAAGCCAAGATAAATCCTGATCATTACACATTTTTCAATTAGAGTCAACACTACATGTGTCTTTTTGAAAGCTACCCGTGTGTATGCTATCAGCTGAAACCGTGACTGAGAGTGTCATCTGGGACCTGTAACGTTAGCATGACTTGCTGATGATGCGTTAGAACCAATGTTGAAACCATTTAAAATGCATGGTGCAATTCTATATATGTGTCAATCTTTGTTGTAAGAAATTGAATCTTTTCATGTTAGCAGATATTTGATTCGTGTGTGTTCTCCGTCTTTATACTTTTTCTTTTATTGTTATTTGTATCAAAGTCTTTCAGATAAATTCTGATGCTTTTTCCTTTAAACACAACTGTTAGTAAGAAAAACTGATCTTTATTGGACAGTGTGATGCAGAAATGAATATTTACCGGTCTACATATATCTCGATAGTACAATCATCGTGTCACACATCAAAAGAAATTTTATTTGTAAAATAAACATTTTATTCAAACAATGAGGGGTAAATCAGTGCTCTTTTATAAAATTCAAGATTCATAAATTTTACAAAGAAAACGCCAGTTTGAGTTAGAAATAAGAAAACTTTATTAAAAAAATTTCAGATGTTCCTCTTATTCATAATCCGACCCTAATCCAAGGTTTTCAAGGTTTCAAAAGAGACAGACGAAATATTTTATACACAGAATGACAGAAGTATTAAAGAAAAGTTTCAAAAAGGCTTTGAAATGTCGAGTATCTTTATGTTTGAATATTTGTATGTACGCTGTATCTAATGGAGCATTATTTGGAAATAGCAACATACGAAGCATCATTTACTTTATGCATTCCTTAAGGTGTTTTCCATGCAAGTTTGTTCAACAATCAAGTTGAATGTCTTGGAAATGCAAGTACTCTTAGGACGCTCAGCTCACTCAGCAAATGTAACATAAAACATCCAAAGCATCCCATTCATGATGCAACGTCCATGTAATTGTAGGACTTACAGTCAAATAACAAAGGATCAGAATATGTAGATTCACATACAGAATCTAAAGAGTTGATAATATGCATCCTATGGGTATTAATTATTACAAATTTTATAAGCATGGGAATATAAGTACTTTGGAGAAATACTTGCGAAGAGAGCTTTATCTGAACACGAATCCTGGAAATATATGAGGTTACACAGATTATTGCAAATTTACAACCTTTCCACGAGTACGAGGGTTGTTCGGAAAGTTCGTGGACTACCGTCATAACCTTTTTACTTAACGTCATATAATATCCAAATTTGGAAGAAATATTTCAACAGTAAATTTAAATGATGTGTATTAAATTTTTTTTTTAAATATAGTGGTTTATTTCAAAGTTATTTAGACTTTAAAAATGCGAGAATCGGATCACGGAGCAGGTCAAAATTTTGTAAATTACAATTAACACACTAAATAATGTCTACAGTCATATCTTCTGTGAAATGACACAAAAAAGAGAAAATTCTACATGTTCAAATTAAGAATTGTTTCATCATTTGTGATTCCAAATTATGACTTTATATTTTGCATCGTTGAAAAAAAATCAGTTTCAGAAGATAGGTAGTCCTCATTGAAAAAGGCAAAAAAGATGACGTAGTAGAAAGTCACGGAGCAGCAGTTAACCATATAATTTTGTGTTGTACTCTGGAAAACTCCAGAAAAAAACTCTGAAAATGCCGGAGGAAGTAGGGAATTTGTCAAAAGCGAGTCTTGCATGTATGTGCACATGGTACAAGCGGTATTTGAAGGATAGACTACTCTGCTTAGACAATGGTGATCTGTGAGAAAACGGATTATCTGTAGAAATCTTATCAAAAACATTGAAAAGATAGTAACGCCATTCTAAGAGTTTGGCGCTTCACAGATGCTGATCTTGTGAAAGCACACTTATGCAGTGAAAAAAATATAACATTGACAAACAAAATGATGCTACTGGAACAATTTTTAGCAAAATAGATTTCAATTGATAGAGGAACGTTTTTAATGAGTGCACTGGTATTGGGCAATACTGTGTGAAATCTATAGGGATACAATGTAGTATTTTTGAGAACCTCGTGTCGGTATGTTTTTGACGTTACAGTGTTGTTGAGTTTGCGCCGTGGTTACAAAACGTGTTGATTTTAAAATTAAATAACATGAATTCTATTAAATCACATAGAATGAAACTTCACACTTAAACAAAATGAATAGTTTTGCATGTGATAATGTGCTCATTTTAAATTTCTCGAAGATAGTATAACGAAGATTGGCATAGTCCACGAACTTTCCGAACAACCCACGTATTTCATAAATTTTAATTCTGAAAGCCCACAAGTATAGTTTTTTTTTTACAAAAAAAAATTGTCGTTTTTTGGTACACACTTCAACAGTAAAAGGACATAAACGTATAAAGCCGTATTAATGTTTTTTCAGTAGTTCTCTGCAACAGCTGTTTACAGACAGTGACCCTATAAAACACAATACAAAGCAAAGAAAACAAAAGAATAAAACACAAATTGTATCCTTTATGTGCAAAAAGAATCTTGATGTTATAAATTAACATTATTGAACTCTTCTTACTTACATTAAAATCACAATAATGAAACATGTGGAGATAACGAATAGTATTCGAGCTCAAAAGTCCATTAAACATTACAAAATAGGAGTAGAGCAAACACGGACCTCTAAGACATCAGAAGTGGGATCAGGTGCCATTGAGGAGTGAGCATCCCCTGCCGACCGGTCACACCCGACGTGTGCTCCTTGTTATGATCGGGAAATAACGGGAAAATCCGTCGACAAATCAGTGTGTAAATAATGGCCTAACAATTAGTATGAAAAAAGTCGGTCAGCATTTGACTTAATGATAAATTGTATTTGCTGACAAGGTCATTGTATCGACCATAAAACGTACGAAATAATCACTTTAAACGAGACTACTGATATTCTTGTTTCATCAACTTATTTGTCAATAATTTACCTCGTTTTGAAATTATTTATACGTAGAGCATGCTCTTGCTTATCGAATTAACTGAGAGATATAAACCCCGTTTGCAGGTGATAAGGGTATATTGCTGCACAAGTAAGGGAAGTTGACAATTGAAAAGTTAAAGTCATCACGTTTAATTTATCGTGGAGAATAGTTGTATAAGGATACCAACTTCCGCCCCAGCCAGGGGTTGAACTCTCGACCTACGGAATCTGTCTCCTAGCAGTACAGGAACAGCGCGCTAGACCGCAAGTTTTTTGACTTGCCTAGATGGCCGAGCGGTCTAGCGCGCTGTTCCTGCACTGCTAGGAGACAGATTCCGTAGGTCGAGAGTTCAACCCCTGGCTGGGGCGGAAGTGGGTATCCTTATAAAAGTGAATTTCTTTGTGCTTTCTATATTAATATTTCTTCACTTAGGGCAGTTATGTTAGTTTAAGAGTTGTTGTAAAATGTGCTTTATAAATAAAAATAAATTTCCTTACAATGTGTATTCGTAACAATCCTCTAATAAAACTAATGTCCAAATAACTGTATCTCACTTCCATTCTCAACGACCGTGTAGTGTAGGGCAGCGCCGCGAGAATTCCATCGGCATCGAAAGTTTTTTGACTTGCCTAGATAGCCGAGCGGTCTAGCGCGCTGTTCCTGTACTGCTAGGAGACAGATTCCGTAGGTCGAGAGTTCAACCCCTGGCTGGGGCGGAGGTGGGTATCCTTATAAAAGTGAATTTCTTTGTGCTTTCTATATTAATATTTCTTCACTTAGGGCAGTTATGTTAGTTTAAGAGTTGTTGTAAAATGTGCTACATATATATATAATGATATTTTTTAATTAATCACACTGTTTCAAAGTAAAACATGTTGCATAAGAACAACTCAATGCAAATATCCACTTTGCATATATAATTATAAATAATCCATATTTTACCCATATAGAGTATAATAATTCCTCTGACGCACACCATTGTATATAATGATAGGAAATCCGTACAAAGTGTTTACATGTATATCCATATCAGTCCTTCGTAGTAGTTTACATAGGTGTTGATCTTTAATGAATAAACCCAAGGCTTTATAATCATGTAACCTTAAGCGTGCTAGGATTTCTCATTAGTTAATGTATTATAATACATAATATCAGCTGGTCTACTTTGCATTTTCTTTCCTGATATATACATTACATATAAATATTCAATTCGGAATGCCTCGGTTCCAGTGTTTATATAAAATAACAACAAGGTTGTTTCATCATAACTTCCACGCTGGACAAGCCAGCATTTAAATGGATCGTGTAAATTTTAACATGTCATTGATCTAGTATATATACTGCTGCAGTGATGTATGAATTTAGAATAAAACAATCTGAGATTCTTCTATTAACTCGACCTAAGAAATTAAAAACAAAAGAATGGGTCTATTTTTATCAAAATTAACGACTCTGTTCGAGTCTTTTTCTTCTGGATCACCAGCTAGAATTGTAATGCTTGGTTTAGATGCTGCAGGTATGATTTGTTTAACTTTTGTACTAAAATATTATAAATTATTACATTTATACAGCTTAATATGTTGCTGAACAAATTGTTTGTATAAATAAATACAATTAAATTAAATGCATTGCTGTAATTGTATCATTTTGATCTATTTGTTTCTCTTTTTTTGAAGACAGTTATTTTTAAAACGTGAATTCAACTTTTTCTTCCTTGATTAAATTGGAGATGATTTCTTATTGCAGGAAAAACAACGATTTTGTACAAGATTAAACTAAATGAGAACGTATGCACCATTCCTACCATCGGATTTAATGTGGAGACTGTGTCCCCAGTAAAGGGCGTGTCCTTTACGGTATGGGACATCGGGGGTCAGGACAAGATCAGACCACTGTGGAAATACTACTTCCAAAACACAGAGGGTAGGTCTACAGATTGCTAATCTATATCAAACAATTAAACATTTTCCTTTCATTATATTGTTGTAACGTTTCAAATTAGAAATAATATATATATTATTTATTATTTTGTTAATAAGTGTTTCAAAGTTTAACAGGAAGAAATCCGAGGAACACTGAACATTTTAATGCTACATTGTAAGAGACAGATTTTCAAAAATATATACACGTGAAGTTTATATCCTCTGTGGATATTTTATTTAAGGCTTAGTGTATGTGGTGGACAGCAACGACAGAGAAAGAATTGCAGAGTCACGTGAAGAACTGTTTGGAATTCTACAATATGACGAAATGAGGGGAGTTCCAGTGATGATAATTGCTAACAAGCAAGATCTTCCAAGTATGTATGAATCAATTCACCTAGTTAGAATATTCAGAATATTGTAAAAAAAAAAAAAAAAAATCCTGTTTAAAGGAAAATACAACCAAATTTTAAATTTTTAATCGTTTTTAAAATTTTGGATTTAATTTTCAATTGATCTTTGAAATATATCGTTATTCAATCAACTTCATGTGTTAATAACTATATTTAAATTATTTATTTGTTTGTTTTTAATACTTATTACAATGTCGTTTAACTTAATTCCATTGTAGACGCTCTAAATACCTCTCAGGTGGCAGAAATGATGTGTTTGCACAAAATAACGTCACGAAAATGGTTCATCCAGTCCGCATGTGCAACAACGGGCGAGGGAATCTATGAGGCCATGCAAGAATTATCAACTATGGTCAAAGACTACAAGAAAGCACTCAAATAAATCCCGGTCATCAATATCTCTATCAGAGCCATCAAAATGTCTTCCTATGAAAGCTACCCGTGTGTATGCTATCAGCTGATACTGTGACCGAGAGTGTAATCTACACGCGTGATACTGTACACGTCGCCAGTAGAGTGCATCATGGTTTCCATATGATGTCTTATCAATAAACAATGTTCGTAGCTTTGAAATTCATGCTACATTTTGGAAACCTTAATCGATGCTGTAAATTACATATACATTAAATCATTTGGATGCTATTAAGATTTGACTCATGTTTTTATATTTGTTCTTTTATGTGTATAATGTGACTCTTCATATGATTAAACATAATGCCCTTGAAATTAAACTTTTCCTTTTTCCTCTTTAAACGCAAAGGAAGTTTTCCAGATATTATGATGCAGAAATGAATATTCACCTGCATATCTATGTCTTAATCACAAAGAATATCAATGTCTTATAAATCCTTCCTGCACATATACATTACATCTGTAAATTCTTGTAAAGAAATTTAAATCCATTGGTATTCTACAATTCTAAATAAACACATTTTAAAAATCATAATGAAAGGAGAAATAATTTTTTGTTTATTAAGCCTCTTTTTTAAGTTATTCTCGAGAACTATCCTCTTCTCCGTAATATAGAATTGTCTGTGTAATTATAACAATTTCTAACTGAAGATAAGGTTTAAAGGAGATTCGAGCAAATTTACTAGACCACATAAGGCAAAAGTGTGTAAGAAATTAATTTTTAGATGAAGATTTTATGAAGAAAAGATCTGCAAATTTTACGGTTTAATCAGTTATCCGAACGCACTTTCTTAAGTTGTACAGAATATATTTTTGAAGGGTTAAGCGGTTTGTGATCAGGATTCACAGAGCAGCATATCTCTCCGTTGATTATATTCCCAAGAGAAACTTAATTTAACAGGAATTAAAAAAAAACTACTGTTCATAAAAGTTGAACATTTCTCAAATGTTGTATATCCTATATCTATATCTCAAAAACAATTTGTAAAAACAATTGTAAAAACTTAGACTACAAATTTACTTTTTCAGCTAGATTCTTGTAACTTATTAAGGTGGTTGGATCCTGTTATCAAAAGTATTGAGAATTTTTTTAAACTATATGTTTAGAATCTACACACATGGCTTTATTAAAAATCAAAACAAAAATGGGTGTCAGTGCGCTTCTTTAGACGCTACGGAGCAATAAATATGACCTTCTTGCACTGTACGTCTAACACGTAAATCAATTTCTCTAAGTTTTTCTTCTGAGATATTTTATCCAAATAAATTATGGGAACAGACACAGTCTTATTTTATCTTGAATAGTCCCATTAAAATTTGTGGCGACAAAAAAATTTCAAATTACATCGTATAGTCATTTATTTGACCTTTCTGCACTTAAAAACATCATTTTCTGGCATTAAAAATTTAACAAGCTATAAAATCATTAGAAAGTAACATTACTAAAGTTTACTGAATTTAATCAGAATGGTTACAATTATCTTATATATTCAGAAAATAAAAAAGGTGGGGGTCTGTGACGTTTGATTTTTAGGTATTACTAAAATAGTGTTAATTTCAAGCTTAAACTGGGCTTTTTTTCTGGACTTCCACAATACATTTGCCTCTATTTGTCAAATATGATATTAGAATTCATGAAAGTTAATTTAACATATAATATAGGACCACCATTAAACATTTCACTGCACAAAATAAATCTGTAAGCAGGCTGCATGGAAAAATAGAAATCCAAACTTAACAATACTGTGAATACTTCGAAAGAAAAAAAAAAAGATCATTTTCTTCTTAAAAACCTTCCGCCACAAAATATAGTTCCTCACTAAATGTTTTTGGTATGGAATTTAAACAGAAGATTTCAATTGAATATAGTTTAATCGGCATTGTAGAATGCAAATTTATTGTAAGAACTAAAACATTATGCAGAATTTTTTTTAAATAGAGGTCAAGACAGAAATCTGCTCACAAATTCAGGAACGAACCTCTTTAACAAGTACTGGACGTTAAAAATGACAAGGCAATGCTTTTTATTTGAAAGTGAAGCCCAAGAAACATTCAAAATTTATAAAGACACTTTCAAATTAAAAAATATGTATTAAAAGTCTCGATTTTGTAACATATTACCATAAACGAAAATAACATAATGCAGACTATCGCAAACGTCACTACTAACATAGACATTTGCAGTGGTAATAAATAACATGTATTTATTTTTTATGATGAAAATAATAATGACATATCTTGTTAGTATACGACCTAGTCTACAATATAGCGCATTTACAAGCATCCAAAATATTTCACTATTTTATTTTTAGTTAATCTAGATATAAATAAATACAAATTATACCAGTACCCAGAAAAAAATAGTCATAACTAGTAGACTAATTGTTCTCGAACAATTAGAGGTCTTTCCACCTTCTTTAAATTTTTTTTTTTTTTTTTTTTTTTACTCTCTGGAGTTAATTTTTATACAAAAAGAATCCATAAATGGCTTGAAAGATAGAAAAAATGAAAATTTTAAAAATTTTGAAATGACCTTGACCTTTGACCTTGAACAAATATTCAAGGTCAACGGTCAAGGGTCACATTGCACTTGACCCCATGCTTCTATGACTTTTAGTTTTAAAGTTATAAGGTTTAATAGTAAGCGAAAAGACGTTAAAGGGCGATAACTCATATAAAGGGTCATCGGATACTTTCGCACTGAATAGATTGAAGTTGTGTCTAAAGACCCTGAAGACATTAGTGAAGGTTTTGTGTCTCTGTGATTAATGGTTTCGGAGGAGTAGCGATAACAAAGTTTTCAGTTAAAGGGGCAATAACTCTCAAAGGGGTAAATGTTAGGGGACAAGTATGAAATATTTGAAATAGTTTTAAGAGGACATATTAATGATACAAAGATACTTAGTATACATTGAAAGACGAAAGAGATATAAAAAGAGCTTAATTTCTCATATTTTGAATGACCTTGACCTTTGACCTTGACATAGATTTCAAGGTCTGAGGTCAAAAAATCTTATCCAATTGGTTTCATGTCTCTACGACTTATCATTTTGAAAAAAAAATATTATTTGTAAACTTCAAAAACTTTCAGGGGCAATAACTCAGTAATGGGGTCGACGAATACTTTCTCAGTGAATAGATTGGAGAGAGTACTCAGTTAGTTGAAGACATTGGTGAAGGTTTCCTACCTCTACGGTTTACGGTTTCGGAGGAGTAGCGATAACAAGGTTTCTAGCGAAAGGGGCAATAACTGTGAAAGGGGTCATAGGTTATATGCGTTGGGTCAAATTTGTTCATAACTTTTTATGACTTTTACGATGAACAAAAAATCTTTTCGATAAACCTTGAAACAAAAAATCAGCGGAAGAAAAATAATAATAATAATAATAATAAACAGAACAATTTCAATAGTTCTTTCCACAGAAAGGTGGAAAGACCTAATTATCTAAAACAAGATCAATAAAATTTACATATTTTGCATGGAATATTATTGACAACTATTGAGTGAGCATTGAAAATACATGTATATAGATTCGAACCAACTTAAACCGGAGAATTCTTGAATGGATTATGTTTTTGATTACAGTATACTGTTATAATAAATACATTTTGGTTTAACTTGGTCTTTATACCAAAAATTGATTACATACTTCAGTTATCCTATTTTCCAAAAGACTCAAACATGGGGCTAAATATACACAGAAGACACGGTATTTTGTAGTAGTGTGCATAGCTAGTGGTGTACGTTGAACTGTTTTGTGTTCGGGGTCTCTGATTCAATTCCCCGAAAATCCAGATTTTTTTTTTTTGGGGGGGGGGGTATTAATGATAGTTATTAATGCATATTTGATGAATTGTTTTTACATTTTTACTAGTTTATTTTAATCATCGTATTTTTCACATAGTGTACACATCAGAAATAAACATATTGATCTCTATATTATTGTTCCAACCTATCTGCTTACCATATATACATTTGAATTTAACGTTATCTGGAATCAACATAGAATTTTCTATAATTTTGGAAAAAGAGACAGGCAAAGAGAAAATGTTGATATTTAAGACGCAGCGATAGTTTCCGAAACGAATAGGAATTCAGACCTTCCCTGAAAATAAAGATCTTGAAAGCAGTCAATTTTGTAAATATTTTGATGTGATTATAATAATATTATTTATACAGAGAAAATGACACAAAACTCAGTATAGAATTTATACTTATTTATTGTGGCGAGTATTGGCCGTGGCACAAGAAAATACAAACATTGTGGGATGCCATTTCAACTGGGCAATCCCACCAAATTCAAACACCATGTGTGTTTCAAATTCCAACCGTCCCGGGTTTACCGCGGAGGGTCAGCACACATACAAACTGTTCAAAATCAACATACAAACTGTTCAAAATCAAAGTCATATCTCAAACTTCAAATATCAATCATATCAACTTCACATATGAAATCTTGTACATAATATATATCAAATATCTCAAACTTCATAGATCAAACATCTCAAACTTCAAATATCAAACTTTTTCATATTTCAAACTTGTACTATATATTACAGCTCTAAAGTATATATCACTGTCACCAAGAGTAAGCTTATTAGCTTAGTTTACACTAGCATTAGCATATCAACAAGGTGACAGTTCAGTACAAGTTTCACACAAATATTCAGTTATCAGTTGACTTGGTGTGCGCAGACGCCACATGGCTGCAAGCTGGCACAGATTGTAGTCACCCCACACATTGGGGGAAGCAAAACAAGTCAACTGTTCCACGACCAATACTGCCCAAGACCCCCTTCCCCAATGGGTACTTGCACACATCTTTATGTATGGATGTGTTCATCCTTCAGCAGACTTGGAATTAATTTTGAATTTCCCTCTATTAAGAAAGGTGCTATAACACATTAAGTAATCAAAACTTGCCAATGAAATATGTGGAGCAGAGCAAACATCTCTGAAACCTCTGAAACATAGAGGTGGGATCAGGTGCCATGGAGGAGTGAGCATCCTCTGCCGACCGGTCACACCTGCTGTGTCCTTATCATGACAGGGAAATAACAGGAAAATCTGTCGATAATTCAGTGTGTAAATAATATAAATGGTCTAACAAATACCAGGAAGTATGAAAAACATCAGTCAGCATTTGACTTAGTGATAGATTTTATTTGCTGACAAGGTCATTGTATCGACCATAGAACTTACGAAATGATGACTTTAAACGAGACTTGATATTGTGATATGATATCATACATATATATATATATAATGTCATGTATCTTACCTATTCCCTAAATGCCTAATAAAGCTTTGGTCTTGTAAAAAGAAACTTCCCTACTATCCTGCCTCACAAATGTATATGCCACCTTGCAATGCATTTACATGAAGTTTACCATTGCTTGTTAATTTTGTTTTGAATTGTCCATTAGCCAAGGCAAGTTTTATATATAGGTTGTAATTCATCAAAACAAATATCTGGAGATTTATAACCAAATAGGGGGAGTTTCATTCATTATCATTACATATAGCATAATTCTCAATCCATGAAAATTGCTAGGAAAGCCAATGCATATGCTGCTATTTGATGAACCAAGTTTCATGTCACCGAAGGTGACACATTCACTCTCTAATTAGCAAATTTAAGCAGAGCTATTTGAAATCCTTAATTACATTTCAAAACCTCCAGTTTCAAGGTTGAATCTTACTATATTCCTATTGATACCCAAATATGTAGTTTCTTGGGAGATTCCCAACACAAATGTGGATTACACAATTATAAGAATAGATCACACTACTTAGTGATGGTTACCAATGGTTGTAGAACTGTCAATTATAATGATATTTTGAAAACATATGCTGGTCTTGATGATATTCCTAGAAAAAGATACATTACCTGATACATGTAACAAGTTAATTCAAATTTATACTTACCAATAACCAGTTTAGCTGCAATGAAGATATCTGGCACTTTGACGGTGCCAATTTGAACCTGTGATTTTTTGGCTACAATTTTATTACAGATGCTTGTCATACTAGTATACTCACCTAATCTTTATTTATGTGCTAATTCCTTTACCTCTGATAAAGAGTCTTTCAATAAACATTATTAATGCCTGTGACACATGTATGCGCATCAGAACTCTATACAGCTCTACCTGACCATATTGTTCCAGTGTAGTACAAAATGCATAGCAAAGTATAAAATTCTTTTAGGTATAGATGTTTGATTATTAATGACACCAATTGGAGATATATTTTCATATGCAATGAGCCTGAATATAACTAGTACTGCTATCAATATGGACTTGATCCAAAAAAGGAAATTATATTTTTCTGGTGTTCTGATTAAAAACAAAACCAAACTCATTAAAAATGTAAACCAAATGCACACCCTGAAGTCTTAGAATCAGCATTATATACATGTACAAAATTACAAAATATAAGCAACTTGCAAGGAGTTTTCAGATCCAAACACCTTAAAATGTAAGCCCAATGCCCGAAGTCAATTAATCAGCATTATCTCTATAAAATTACAAAATTTAAGCATCCTTCTAGGACTTATGAGAAATAATTGCTACATTATTAAGAATTTAAGGTACATGTACTTGACAAAGTCTTTCTTTGGGTCACTTCTGATGTCTAAAGACAACTAAATATAATTAAAATAAATCCATATATTCATTTTGCAACATACAATCGGATGAATGTTCTATAAGTTTTAATTGCTTTACAGAAGTAATTGTAATTTTAACTGGTATTTGGAAGACTGAAATCTTAAATTACATGGTTACTCCAGATTGACACCTACTCCTCGAGCATTTTACCCTTGACATCTCAAATATCCGATATCTCAATTGAAAGTTATTTCTTGTCCCATAAGTTCAAGACAATGAGGTTTGACTGTATTGACTTTTTTGATTTAATAATTGGTCATTAAGGTATACATGTATTCATAAATAAGTGATCACAAAAACATTCTTGTACAAGATGTTGCAATTTCCAACATTTCATTTGCACTCTACAGGATCATAACAAAGATATCCTAATTCCAGTAATAGAAAATGGATGTTTATCTAAAAATATTTTGCATTTTCCTTTTCATTCAAACTTATTCAATGAGATTGATAAATTATGTGGTTAAACAATGATAAATCCCCCCCCCCCCACTTTTTGTATTACAAGATCATTTTTTCCAATTTAATAGCTAGCAAAACGAATCCTCAACGAGAGTACCTAAAGATACGAGATTTGAGAAAGGCCCTTTCTAGAGGTTTACTGCTCCCAGACCCCACACAATTAAGATCCCCCTGTTTCAAGTCATATATATTGAGTTGGAAGCTGTGTAAATCTGTAATAACTACTGATATGCAACTGATCTTATGACTTACCTATATATCAGAGCATCCTAAATTTTCACAACATTAGTCTAAAATTTCATGAATACAATGCACTGAAATCCAGGAAAGCCCTGGAGCATTTAAATAAATATAACAATACTCTTCTCTGGGCAAGATAGGTGGTTTCATTCTCCCTTTTATTTAAACACATCATATACTAAAGATTGTTTAGTCTGAGCCCTGTTGTAAGTAGTGCCTAATAGTTGGATTTGAAATATTCACCAAGTTCTACTTTTACAATGACACAGAACATTGTATCGGTTATATTACTTAGTACCTGAATTTATACAAAAACTAAATTTAATCCTCTCACAAATAGACACCAGCTAATATAAATATATAATAGGTCCAGAACATTCTACTAATATAACCGGACATATGGCAAAGTTAAGGCTGCTGTACAATGTGCACCTAACAATGGCATCTACGCAAAATCTATTGAATTATTTTGACCTTAGTTTTGAACAATTCCAGGCAACTGCAAGTCTTTTGTCCTTATTTAGAGAGAATTCTATGGTAAAATTATAATATGATTTGAATGTATTTTTGAAAGATTATTTTATTGTGACATAATTTTGTAGGATTAACTGGTTAGTTATATCTAAATATATTTTGTTTTCAACTTGACTTTCTGGTACTTTTGTTTGAAACTTAATAGTTTTTTTTTTTTTTGGTAAGCCCCCCCCCCCCCCCTTTTCTTTAGAAAAAAACAGAAATAAATTCTACACCATAAGCTTGAAAGGTAACACTTTAAGCAATGATTTGTTTAGAAGCAATATCTATACACTGTATAAGCAATCTATTGCTTATATTTTGGTCTCATTCTACAATGGCAAAGATTAATCATGATACATGTACACATTCAACTGATTTATGTATTTCAAAGGTGGTGGATGTACCTGATGTATTGGATTGTGATGATACATATATTCAATGTCTGGTTTTCCAACTGGTTCACAGACTATTTGCGATTCTTTTCTTTGACTTATATTGGGGCCCATCCTCACTGTGTCCACAAAAAGGTCCGACCGAGTTTCCATATTGTTGTTCCCCTATTCTGGGTTTGCATTTTCCGATTTCGACGCAGTATGAATCAAAAAGACAATAATTAATGTTGATAACCAATATTTGATCATTTAATAACAATACAAAGGTAAATTAATTATTTTTTGGCATAACCGCGTGTGCGTCGTCTGCTTCGTAAAAATTTGAATCCAACATCATCCGCCTTATTTAATAAACATCAACAGTAATAAAAGCTTTAAAATGGTTGAAAAACAATTCATAAATGGAAAAATATACTATTTTTTAAAATTACAAAGCAAAAATTAGATGTATTCTTTGCAAGCATTTGATATGCGTCTTTACCTTTGAAAGGTTCAGCAGAAAGGTGTGTGAAGAACAAACCCGACCCTTTATATAGACAACACTTGCTGTGTCATCCAAGCCCGACTCTTAAAAGCCAACGTACAAGGGACCTATATACTAGTATATAGGTCCCTGCAAATATACTTTTCTCGTAAAATAAAGGCATCTATTTTGTATACACAAATAGATGCTATTATTAAAGTCTATAAAATATAAAAATACAAAATGCTACATTTTATACGTACATGTCAATATTAATAATAAACCGGCAGTATTTTCGTTTTCAATTAAACTTCCTATTTAAAATAGAATTGTGACATTTTATTTGCATGTATTAATTTTATTGATATATCATTATCCCTTTGCTATATAAGATAAAAATTACACTTAGTGCACTCTAATTTTTTTTGTATAAATCCTTTTCAAATTAAAACATGATGAAACAAAATAATTCAATGCAAATATCCATTCTGAATATATGATTATAAATAATCTAGACGTTGAATAATACCTCTGACGCACAACATTCTAAATAATGATAGGAAATCCGTACAAAGTGTTGACATGTATATTCATATCAGTCCTTCGCTGCAGTTTACATAAGTATTGATCTTTAATGAGTCAACCCAACATTATATAATTATGATAATAAACCTTGCTAACATTTCTTATTAGTTAATTCTATTATGATATATGATAACAATAGGTCTACTTGACGTTTTCTTTCCTGATATATACGTTACATATAAATATAGTACTCGGATCATTCAATTCGGAATGCCTCGGTTTCTGTGTTTACATTAACAACAAGGTGTTTCGTCATACCTTCCACGCTGGACAAGCCAGCATTTAAATGGATCGTGTAAATTTTAACATGTCATTGATCTAGTATATATACTGCTGCAGTGATGAATGAATTTAGAATAAAACAATCTGAGACCTGTCTCTCAACTCGATCGAGGAAATTTAAGAAAGATAAAGAATGGGTTTATTTTTATCAAAATTAACGACTCTGTTCGAGTCTTTTTCTTCTGGATCACCAGCTAGAATTGTAATGCTTGGTTTAGATGCTGCAGGTATGATCTGTTTAACTGTTGCGATAAAAATGTTTCATATTATTACATTTGTAGAGATAATGTAGATGAACAAATTGCTTGTAAAATTAACTACATATTTTTTTTTTTTTTATCAAATTGATCTATTTATTTCTCTTTTATGAAGCAATTGAAGTAATAAACATTACTTTTTTAAAATTCAATTAGTATCATTATTTAATATTATTATTTTATTAATTCATAAATATGATTTTCAATATCTTTTTCAACCTTGATTTCATTGTTGGAAATTATTTTTAATCGCAGGAAAAACAACGATTTTGTACAAAATTAAATTAAATGAGAACGTTTGTACCATTCCCACCATCGGATTTAACGTGGAGACCGTGTCCCCCGTAAAGGGTGTGTCCTTTACGGTGTGGGACGTCGGGGGTCAGGATAGGATCAGACCACTATGGAAACACTACTACCAAAACACAGAGGGTAGGTCTACGGTTTACTTATATATACCCGTTATTATCAAAGCAATTTAAACATTCGCCTTGTCATTAATCTAAACATTCTGTTAAAAAAACATTGTAATCTAATGTTTATTAATTCGCCAGTAAGTGTTCAAAGTTTAAAATGAATAAAGAACTGTTGAAATCATGATCAACAATGAAAATTTAAATGTCAAGAGATATTTGTTTGAAAAATATACGTGTGTAATCTATATCCTCTGTTGGTAATTTCAGGCTTAGTGTATGTGGTGGACAGCAACGACAGAGAAAGAATTGTCGAGTCACGTGAAGAATTGTTTGGAATTCTACAATATGACGAAATGAGGGGAGTTCCAGTGGTGATAATTGCTAACAAGCAAGATCTTCCAAGTATGTATGAATCAATGCACCTAATTAGAATAATATATTTATACTGTTATAATAGAATATAATTAGAATATTCAGAATATTGTTATAAAAAAATCTTGTAGATAGGCAGATACAATAAGATTCTAATTATTTTTTATCCTTTTTAAAATTTTGGATTTTATTTTCATTTGATCTCTGAAACATATCGTTATTCAATCTGCTTCATGTATAAATAACTACATTTTAATAATTTTTTAAATACAAATTATAATATAAGTAATGTCATTCCATTATAGATGCTCGTAGTACCTCTGAGGTAGCAGAAATGTTGTGCTTACACAAACTGACGTCACGAAAATGGTTCATTCAATCCGCATGTGCAACAACAGGCGAGGGAATTTATGAGGCCATGCAAGAATTATCAACTATGGTCAAAGACTACAAAAAATCACTGAAATAAATCCTAAATAATATCTCTATGAGAGCCACCACAGTGTCTTCCTATGAAAGCTACCCGTGCGTATGCTACGAGCTGAAACCATGACTGAGAGTGTAATCAGGACCTAGTATGATGCTGTACACGTCGCCAGTAGAGTGCATCATGGTTTGGCGATGATGTCTTATCAATAAACAATGTTCGTAGCATTTCAAATTCATGCTGCATTTTGAATCATTAATTTATGCTGCAAAATACATTTAATCATTGGATGCTAGTGTGATTTGAATCTTGTTTGTTGTTTTATGTGCACAATATTACTCTACATATCAATAAATATTTATGTTTGTCAACCTGACTTTTGTTTACTTTTTCCCTACAAATGTAAGGGAAGTTTTTTTTCTTCCGAAAGTTGTGGTGCAGAAATGAATATTCACATGTATATTTGTACCTTGATCACAGTGAATATACATTTCTTGTAATAGAGCAAAAGTATGTTTGAAAGTTTTAAATTTAAACAATAACAGGGTGCAACAGAACATATATCTTGTATATATAACTAAGACTGCAAGCAAATAGATTTTGTCTTAATTTTAATATCCCCCCTCTTAAAAGTAGGGCATATACATGTATGTAATATTTATGGATATGCTGTTTTTAAAATTCAAATACCATTTCAAGTGAAACGTGCCTTATATGTATAAAAGAATGGATTCGAGATGCTTAAACATCAAAATTTTAATTGTAAATAAATTCCCTTCCTTGTACACCTATACATGTATCAGTAAATTCTTCCACAGATATTTAAAATCCATTATTTTCTTGGAATTCTACCATAATGTAAGATGAAATTTGTTTGTAAAGCATGTTTGTTTATTATTCTCGAGAACTATTCTCTGCTTCCTGAATATTATTCTGTAATGATGACAATTTCTAACTGAAGATAAAGTTCAAAGGAGATTCTAGGAGATTTTCTAGATCATTTGAGGCACAATGTGTGATCAATATTTTGTAACAAGAAAATTTTATGAAGGAATCTCATCGAGATATGCAAATTTCAAGGTTATGTCTTTTATCCAGAACCCATGCTTTAAAGCAACACACTTACATAAATTTTACAAAATAATTTCTTGTAAAGGTATAAGCAGTCTCTGATCCGGACTCACGGATTTGCAGTTTCTCCGTTGAATTGTATTTCCCACAGAAACTTAATTTGACAGCAAGAAAACAAAAATAAACGTGTATTGTTTATAGAAGGCAAACATTTCTCAAAATGAATAGACGTACTCATTTGAAGACAGTTGTTAAAACTCAGATTTTAAGCTTGATTCATATTAGCTTTTAGGAAGGACTTGACGTAGAAAATGACGTGACAATGAACTTTTACTTGAACGTAAAAAAACCCAAAACATCCAAAAGTTATAAAGACTCTATTCTATTTCATTCATATTAAATAAAACCTCTTTTCTGAACAATATGAAGACAAACAAAATATATATATATATATATATATATATATATATATATATATATATATATATATATATATATATATATATATATATATATATATATAAATCACTGCAAATACCAACAACACTGTATATCCTAAGTGTCGGATCTACTAAATAGATACAAGGTCAAGGATGGAAATTTATATAAAGCACTAAAAATGACCAACGACACGAACAATAGAAATTGTCAAATTTTCGGGACGCCCTGTCCCTTCCTCAGGACGAAGAAAAAAGTTAAGCAGTCATAAAAACAAAACTTATTTCTATTTTCTTTGTTTTTATGACTTCTTAACTTTTTTCTTTGTCCTGAGGAAGGGACAGGGCGTCTCGAAAATTTGACAATTTCTATTGTTCGTGTCGTTGGTAGTGCTATCTATCTATCTATCTATATATACTATGATGAGATATATAATGACATGTCTAGTTAAAACAAATCAATTTCTGACGTGTATTACATAATGAATTGTGATTGAAAAGACTTTTTAATAAGATAAACAAAATATTTGATATTACAATATTATTATAATAATTATATAACTTGAAAGCATCTATTTAATAATTAATTTAACATAGTATGGGTTGTTTTATCATGCTTACTTTTCAATGATATATTTAGCGGAATGGGCATTTTACATTTAATATCATATTAAAGGAGATTTTAAAGGCTCTCTCTCCTCAAATTCTGATATTAGATTATGAAAATTTGCCATTTCCTTTTCTTTCAGCTAAAGACCTGTGGAAAATATATGTTATTTTTGACTATCACACTGTGGGACGTGGAAACCGGTCCTTCGGATGAGACCGTATAAACCGAGGTCCCGCGTTGCAGTAGGTGCTGGCACGAAAAAGATCCCTCACCGCTCAATGGCCCTAGGTGCCGAGTATAGGTCAGAATTTGCAGCTCTCCACCGGCAAGTGGTGGTGTCTCCATATGAGTGAAAAATTCTCGAGAGGGACGTTAAACAATTAACAAACAAAACAAAAAATAACTATTACATTAAAACTAATTCGATAATCAATCAATGCGGGAAAAATATTCCGTAAACCAATTACTCATGACTTTTGCCAATGTATTATCGAAAATCCAGGCACCGTGTTCGTATTTGTATATAACGAAGTGCTTCGTCAGAAATGTACACGTTGGAAGTAGAACAGCATTTAAATTTAACGTGTTGAAAATAACTTGTCACTTAAAGCGTACATAAAGACCAAAGGTTTTTAATAATGGTTGAAATATTATAGGAAACATATTACGCTCGAACTTAGAAACTCATATTTAAGAAATGGGTCTTTTTCTCTCGAGGTTATATTCAGTCTTTGAATCTTTCTGTGAGGAGACACCGGCTAGAATTCTTATGCTAGGATTAGATGCTGCTGGTGAGTTAAGTTATTTAATTTGTCCCCATCAATTTATGATTTCTTTTAAAAAATAAATAACTAAATGGAAGATATTCGAATTAAAGTTTTATACAAAGTTTGATATGGAATTTATTTCACAAATCTCAGAGGATTTTTCCTTTAAATTTTCACAAGAGCAATCAAAAGTGAAAATCTCCTGTTTCAGCTAATGTTTATCTTTGTGTTTCATAAATTTTCTTCGGTTTTTTCGGTTTCCCTTTTCCCTCATTAGCTTTTCTCTTTATTGAAATTTTAAAAAAAAATTACGTTGTGAATGTAGATTCATATTATGTATATAAAATGCAAAAATAAGGAAGCAATTATCAAAATCAGAACAATAAGAGACTTTAATTTAACCTTATTATTATGATTATAAAATATGAAAGAATTAATTTAAATTTGCGCGATTCTCTAAAATGCAGTAGAGGGTGAAAATTTTTCACACAATTAAATAAATATGGTTACGCTTAATGAAATGATGGTGAAATAAATAATAAATTTCGACCCTTTTATTGAATAGTGAATAGAAACCCAGCTAATATATGCATTTATGTGTACTTTGCAGGAAAAACTACAATTTTATAAAAAATTAAACTTAATGAAGTTGTGAATACTATACCAACGATTGGATTTAATGTGGAAACAGTGGAACCAGTGAAAGGAATCTCCTTCACCGTGTGGGATATTGGTGGACAGGATAAAATTAGACCTCTGTGGAAATACTATTTTCAAAATACTGAAGGTTCTATCTGTTCAGTGTACTAATTTAGCAGATTATTTTCTGATCATAATATGAATGAAGAAAATATTTTTTACAATCACATAATTTGGTCAGGTATCTGCATTACTTCTACCTTTTGTTTGAATGTCTGACAGGATTGGTATACATTGTTGATAGTAGCGACAGAGAGAGAATGGCTGAAGCTAGGGAGGAGTTGTTTGCCATACTGAACAACGATGAAATGAGAGGTGTCCCTGTAGTTGTGATGGCCAACAAACAAGACTTACCTAGTACGTATATAATTATGATGTAACTGTCAAACGAAACATTTCAGCATAACATCCGTTGAATCAGGATAAAAACAATATACACCTACATGTAAACTCAATTTATGTTAAAAGCTTCAAACCTGGAGACAATGAATATAAAAATTAATCGTTGATTTTTCGATTATTTAACTCCTTCGTCATTCATTTTTTGACAAGTTCTTCAAAAAATTGTTTTCTTATAGATGCTTTGAAATCATCAGAGGTAGCTGATATGATGAACTTGCATAGTTTGACATCCAGAAAATGGTACATTCAGGCAGCATGTGGCAAAACAGGAGAGGGGGTCTATGAGTCTATGAGAGAAATGGCAAACATGGTTAAAGAAAACAAAGCCGGATCCCACTGAACTTTGACAGGATATTCAGGCTTGTATTATCGGCACACTGCACAAAGAGAACGAGCCTTTGAGATTCAAAACTGATGTGCCTTAGAATATTCTCTCCAACAGTTGTTAAACCATGTCAATCATGTGTATCTATGCAGGATTATTGTACAGTGAATTACATATATGATACCTCGTTATTTTGAGATATGAATGAAAAAAAAAAGATCTCCGAGATTGCAGATTTGTTTTGTATTATTATATATGTATTGCAACAACTATCTATCCTGAAATCTTTTTGTACACGTTGAGTGCATTCTTTTAGCGTAGCTGTGCCCCCCCCCCCCTTTGAAGGCACAAAAAAGAACACTGATACACGTGTGGATAATTGCTTGAAGACTACTCGTGCCATAACTGTATGTGGAGTTGAATAAACAAAAATCATGTATTTTAACGCATTTATGTTTTTTTATGTGACGTATACATGTTTAATTTTGGTATATTCATGTTTTAAATATAATTCAAAGTAAAATACATTATTCATACATTTTTATAGATTACATGTATTAATAAAATATACATAAAATTCATTATTTATATAATATTTATACTTAAAAAAGATTTGTTTGTAAAATGCCTGAAAATATAAAGTACACCAGGAAAATCTTAAACAAATACTAGAATCTGTAACCTCTTTATATGGTATGTATATTCTAGTCTTCATATTAATCAGCAATATTTGAAGATTTTAATAATACAGCTTTTCCTTAAACAGTTTTGAATTGAAAATGTTGAGTAATAACAAATAAATGCCAATTTATTTAACTTTGAGTCATTGAACAATCCATTTAATATTAGAATAATATATTTATTCCATATATATATATATATATATATATATATATATATATATATATATATATATATATATATATATATATATATATATATATATGACGCTCGCCATTTTATCGATTTATCGATCGGAAATCCGCGGAGTGTGTTTACATTTATAACCGAGTACTACCCCGACGTCCGTAGTGACATGCTGGAAATAAAATTATACCGTTTAAATGGAATAGATATTTCATGAATCGAAAATTACTTGTCATTCATTGAGCATATTAAATATACGGGACTCGGGTGCCCTGATAATTAATAGAACGATAATGTGAAGAATAGCGAGTTTTAGCTAGTGAAAATCCATTTACAAAGAAATGGGTCGTTTTCTCTCGAAATTTAAATCTATTTGTGAGTTCTGTAAAACAGAGACCCCGACTAAAATTCTTTTACTGGGATTAGATGAAGCTGGTGAGTATTTTAATAAATGCATTTAAAATTTAATGCGTTAGACACGAATTCAATACCAATACCTATGTTATATACTACAAAAATACAGTATGATGCAATACGTTTTTATATCGGACAAAATGGCGGCGTGTTTACATTGAGACACGGTAAAAATAGGACAGGGATTTGGTAAACTATTTTTAGCATTTAATTTACAAGACAAGTGATTTATAGTGGGTAACAAAGGGAATATGACAATGATTTGAAAAATTCGCTCTGAAATTAAAAATTGAAAGCAGCCTGTGTAAAATAATAATACCTTGATAAACGTAACACAGGGACTATATTAAGTTAGAGGTGTTCGTTAAAAAAGCAGCAAATCCGAAAACTAGTTATTCCTTTTTACGTTTATTACAAAAAATATATATAAATGTTTCAATTTGAATTAAAAATCAGACTCCTTGATTCATTCAAACAGACAGTTATACAAGAGATCAATGCTCGTGGATCAAGGATCTGACTTCAATCAGATTGAAGTTTACAGATTACAAGTGAACTGTTTGAATCGTCTTGCTCCCGAGAAAAGCGAAGACTGACAGTGGATAATCACCATTTATGAAAGAAGTTTTCACATATGAGTCTAAGATAGTAGTTGGATGAGATTCCCGTGCTTACATATGGGGAAAAGAATCAATTAAGGGTTGGAGGAAGCGCGATAGACCATTAAGCAATGTTACATGTACCAGACTGTGATTTTAGGGTGATCACATTGCAAGAAGTCGACACTATTTCCACCTGCAGATGAGTTTATACATGTATGGGCGTTCCTGTGTTATGATGGATTTAAACATAAATATAATTACCATTCTAGCTAGCAAGTAAAATCCTATTATTGTTTTACACTAGGTTTAACGAAGTGCAGCTTACAACGTCATAATGACATAATACTAGCCAGGAAATAATGTCAACAAAACGCCACCACGCCATTTCCGATCAATTCCGAGTCGTATATTGAATATAATAAGCTTAAAAGGTTGCCTTACAATATAACAAGTAACGTTAGTATTACTTTATTCAATTTCTAAATGAAAAAGTGACATGTTGCATCACTATTATGCAAGGTGCGCCATTTTGTCCGAATAAATTATATCTTCTTTTATGGCCTTCTTTATATCATGTTACAATTTTTTTTGCATAGGTAAGTCGACAATTTTGTATAAAATCAAATTCAAAAACATATGTTTAACAACAATTCCAACTATTGGACATAATGAAGAAACTCTGAAACCTATAAAAGGAATTACATTTAATGTGGTGGAAGTTGGAGGGCATGTCAAAGTTAGACCACTGTGGAGGCACTATTGCCAGAATACTGAAGGTAATCAATACATTCTTCTTCTCCTTTTTTCACCACAAATTGAAGCGCAATAAACTACATGTAAAACAATTTCCTATTCCACAATCACTCAATTTTTCATCACCACATTATTTGTTATCGTCTAGGTCTTCCATACTGGGAAACCTGTTTGACTTTTCTATTCTTTGTCTAAATACACACTTTCTTTCAATGGAATACTTGGAGGTGTTTTTTTTTTGGTCAAAATCCTTGCCTTTTTTACTCTTTTTTCTTTGGTCAGGATTGATATATGTCGTAGACAGTAGTGATAGAGAGAGAATCGCTGAATCTCAGAAGGAACTGTTTGACATTCTTGATATTGATGAGATGAGAGGGGTACCTGTTATCGTAATGGCTAACAAACAAGATGTACCTGGTACGTATACTGACGAAATTCAATAAAGAACAAGATACACTCAATTTCTTTTTACTATTTGTAAAAGCACTTAAGTTTTGTTTTCTTTGATTTTTTTTTTTTTTTACATTTTATCTATTAGGTGCAATGAAAACAACAGAAATTTCCAATTTGATGAGTTTGCATAAGATTACATCCAGAGAATGGTTCATCCAAGCAACATGCGCAGCAAATGGAGATGGAATATACGAATCCATGTTAAAAATGGATAACATGGTCAAGGAAAACAAAGAGGTCTCAAACTAAATTCGTAGGGAAAAACTTTGAGATAGCAAACAAAAATAAAGATTTGTACTCTTTGAATTATTTGTCACTAAAATATGGTTGTTCCATCCACTGAATTTGAAAGTTGTTTTCACGAGAAGAGAATGGACTCTGAGAGTGAAACGTATCATGATAGCATAATTATGTAAAATGAATAACGAAAACAACTACTGAAATATAATTTTTAATTCATGTATAACAATTAACTTTATAAATTGTTTGAAGGCCTAAAGAATACTAACTTGGTTTATCAGACTTTCCAGACAAATCTTCAAAGGTTAAAAAGATATCGATATGCCCTGAAACTTGAGTTCTATTCGTACGATCGTTAAGACGATTTTTTCTAAGAAATTTAGATAAACTATCTACATGCAATGGGCATGTGCATATAAGTTCAAAGACAATGTGCAATGATATGAAAACCATTCCTGAAGTACAAAATTGTGCTTTTTGTGTGGGTTCATATGCTTCAATCCTTTTGTCATGTAAATTCTGAATTAAGTGGCAGTAAATGCAAAATTGTTGAAAATTTTGTATTCAAAATTTACAATATGAGACTTTATACTTAATAAAACTCAAATATTAACTTAATAAAACTTCATGTATCGTCAACCACTTTAATGTGCAATGTTCACATGTAGCCGAGATTTTTAAACGTTCGGTTTTTTCGGGTGAGAGGAGGTTCCTAGTTTAATATGCACGTTACCCAAAGGAAATGATGGTCGTACGGAGCGCTAATCCTGATACACAAACAGTATACACAGGAAGTTCAGGAGTTTTAAATGCAGAAAAAAAATAGCAATCGTAAAACATTTTCGTAGGCTTGTATATACATGATTTATAAAGTATTTGTAGAAATGACTAGTCATTCGTTGATTCATGACCAATAAACATTATGTCGAGACTAAATTAAAATTAAAATTTTAAATGAAATATTAAATTGAAAACTTAATATGTTTTAGAAGGTATACATGATGATAAGTTGATGACAAGTCAAAATGTGATTGTATGTTTCTATTGCTTATATCTTCGCTCTTGAAGAGTAAAGGGGAATTACTGTACAGCATATATTCCACAAACAGTACAATTTAATAGAAGCTTGTGCCACAAAATTTGACATTGTTTCATCTGAGAAGCTTTCAAGGGATCCAATATTTCAAACATGAAATAGATACTGGCATATCTGCGTGTATAACTAAAGTTTTTCAATATTTTTGAAGAAAAAAAAAGAGATTTAAAGATTTAATAAGATTCGTTCCCTATGATGTCCATTGTAATCTCATCATCTTTCCTTTTGTACTTGCGGAAGAAGTAAACCATCCCACCTCCTAAAACGAGGCCAAATATGAATACACCAAAAGCTGTTCCCAGGAGTAGAGCTGTAAATAAATGAAGTCGGCTTAATGACTGCCTTGGAATATCAGAAAAATTGTTTCAGTCAGAACAAGAGGTCTTTGTGAAATACACCAGAACTTAGCGCACCTGTTATCTGCTCAAATTGACTTATTTTGACCTTGTGGGTTTTTTTTTAACCTTCAGACAAGAAAAGACAAATCCTTTGAACATAAGCTACTTTTCTTACAGGTTCTTTTCAACACAAATTTTGGCCTTCAACTCCTTTTGCATTGATTTCCCAGCTGATCTTTAATTAGGTTCATGTCACATCTTCTGACTACCTAACTTTGTGTCAATGAACTTCTAACATTGCTACATTACAAAGTTATAGACCAGAAAGGAATTTTATACTTTCCATCTCTGTAGTCTTGATCTTGTGTCTTACGTCTAGAAATATTTTATGATTTACCTAAATTTGAATCCGACTTTTGTGGAGAGATTTTACTGACAACAGTTGATGATGAAGAAGTATTGCTGGGTGCAGTTGTTGAAGGATTGTATACTCCTATAAAGGAAACAAAGTTAATTGATTCAGTCATCGATAAAAAAAAAAATAAACCTCTGCTTATGAGAGAATACGACTCTCCTTCTGACAAATTTATATAACTGTCTCGATTACCTCATGTGAGAGTACTATAAAATGAAATAGAAAGTGGTGTTGTATGCAGTTACGTGAAGTATAATAATTGCAAAAAAAATTAAAAACATCAACTCACTAATGTACAGATTACAGAATCCACTAGAAGTGACGTATCCGGGTCCAATCTGCTTTGGCGTTGAAGTCATTAGTTCACATTTAGTAAAATTACCACAATACGCAAAAGTACGGCAGTTAACACTCTCCTCTTCTATACAAAGTTTTGCACATTGGTCAACAGATACTCCATCGAATTCCAAAACTTTCCCAAAGTTCATCTGCTTTCCCTCCACAAATTTAAAGTCATCGATGTATTTACCTTATTTATAAAAAAAAATCACCAATATATTTATTTTAATTGTAAAATAAAATAATCTCAATCCTTCAGATACATAATCACTTTGTACTAATTTCAATATTTGCAAAATTAGGTTTCTAGGATATATTTCTGTTAAGTAACGATTGATTGATTGCATGTTGTCAGCCACCCCATTCGAGAATTTTTTCACTCGTATAGAGACGTTACCATATACCGATGAAGGACTACAAATTTAGACCTATACTCGGCATTCAGTGCCATTAAGCACTGAGGGATCATTATCATGCCAACGCCTTCCGTGACACGGGACATTGGTCGCATCCGAAAGACCCGTGATTTTTGCTTCTAATGCCGGGTGCTTGGCGAAGAAACAGTCACTACCTTTGTTTATATATTAGGTTTGGCGCGGCGCGGCAAAAGAGAATCGAACCTGGGTCTCTCGATCACGAAGCAAACGTGTTGAGATACGAAAAATGTACCCTTTTTTGCAATTAGAGATATATCCCTGTTATTTAAGATGATGTAACAATTGTAAAAATGTCAAAATGTTCTATAGATATTGTGGTATATATTCACAAAGAAATCGAACTACTCACGTGAATAGTGATTACAACTTGGAGTTTTCTGAAACACAGCCGTAGGAGCGTCCAGTTCATGTGTATTTTTTAATCGACATGTTTTTGAATTAGCGCAGTAATCAAATGATTTGCAGCTGTCTGTAACAGTGCACTGTTTGGCACAAAGGTTTGGAGTAGGAACCGCCATTATGACATCATCAGCATTTGTTGGAAAAGTTGTCCCAGGTTTTGCATTATAGTGATCCAAATATTGTCCTTCCAAGAAAGTAAGACACATTGTAAGAGAGAGTATCATTTGTTAATTGCCAGAAATGTAAACTAACCGTGGCAGTAAACCAAGGTCCTTCTGACATATATGAAAATACAAAATAAAGATTTATTATTAAATGTTGTTTTACATATCCTCTGTATGTCCCTACTTGTATAGAGGTCACAGAACTTGTGAGACTGAACGAGGGACTGGTTAAGATCTGGGTGTACTGAGCTGAGGAGGCACAAACTCTGTCCCGAACAGTACATAAATGACTGACAATCAAACAGTTCCTCCATTAGACACTCCGTGGCACAGTCGTCAACCGCAACACCTCGAACTGTGTATTCACTCCTCACCATTATTGAGTTCTGTTTGTACACCGTGAAATGCTTCATTGTCTGTCCTACCAAAGTAAAAGTGAGTATTGAGTTTGTAGAGGGGATTTTATTGCTGCAAAAATGTTTACATTTAAAGACAGATAAGTTAATTCCTACCTCCCTGAATAACGTCACTTGAGCTTGGTATAGTGTCTTTAATGGTAGATGCAGTGTATATTTTCTGAAAAAAGTAGTCAAGTTCAAAGTTATTTATACGTTTCTGAAGATACACAAGAAAACTTTCCATCTCTTTTTAAAAATAAAGTAATGCATGTATGTCCAATGATATGGTTATTCAGTGACTTACTGTGTAATTGCTGGTTTTAAGTGTAACGCTTAATTGACCCACGTAAACTGCGTTTTTCAGATTGCTATAAGCCACTAGCAATGTAGGCGCAGGGGCAACAGAGGCGTTTACAGTTTCTTGTCAATATAAAAAAGTATTATCAGTATAAATGGAACATCTGAATGTAACGAGAAGTTAGAAGTTATGACACTGATATTGATATAGAAAAAGTTCATCAAAATGAGGTCTTAGAAGATTCATGGTAAAGAATCACTCACTGGAGTAATGCTGACATGTTGTTTTGGCTGACGGTTGATTCCCAGTTGAGACATGGTGATTACTTAGGTAGCACTTGCCAATGTCTGGACAGAAATCAAAACTATTGCACTGAAACCGATTGATTGACAAACACGCATTGGCACATTCATCGGCAGATTTCAGATTTGCAAACACAGCATTGGTTCCAAGAGTTTTTGTGGTTATTGGTAATTTTGTAAATTCCGCTGATAAAGGAAAAAATCCAAATTGATATAGATACTCATTCACATTTTCAATAGTCATAATTTTCAGTAATCGTAATACTCACTTAAAAAAGGTGGCCTTCCTAGGATTGTCGCGGAGACGTAGATATGGTAAGGGTCATAGTTGAGAGAAATTTCTTGGAAGCGTAATATTGAAGCACCTGATGTTCGAGACATCATTTCTAGAGCTTCTAATTGAAATACTTTCTCATAGATGTCCAAATAAGGATGGTACTGCCCTTTAAGAAAAAAAAATATTCAAACATTATTCAAATTTTATTATTTTGTGTAAAAAAAAAAAAAGCAACATCATTTTTTGGAAGTTTTAAATTTGGTACGTAGTACTTTATTTTCTCTTCCTACCTGGAAATGTGATTTGAAAATGGTGTTGATCTTGCGACGAAAAGCATTTCTTGATGTCGAACAGCGATAAATCGGGTTCGAAGTACTCAAAATCAAAATAATTTGTTGTGATTACCAATGCTTTCTGTAATTCAAAATCATAAGGTAATCAATAAACTAAAAGGTTGAGATATTACTTTGGTACAGCGAATACCCCATGATAATTAATATTGTGTGCTACATACCTCTACAATAATCAGGTCAGTTTTAACCAAGTATTGCTCAGTTACACCTGCATCACTACTGGCACTTTCAGCCCATCCATTCTGTTAAATATAAATTTAAGAAAAATGAATTCATCTCTTTATTTACATGAACTATATTAAGAAGTCTAAGATAGTCTGAAAACCTACCACAATAAAGTAGTATTCGACAATAGCCGTGTACTTCCCAACAAGACCAGGCATTGTAAAATTCTGAAGGATAGCTTCATACACGTTAGTCAAGAAATCTCTGACGGTTCTCTGGAAAAAAAAGATATTTAAAGCTTCAATTTTAGTCAATTACTGGGTAATATATTGAAAAATGTCATTATAGGTCTTCACAGAAAATATGAAGTTATATATATATTCCTCAATTTATTCATAAGACAAATATTATAGAGGAAAATGTCAACGGCTTAACGAAAAGTCAGAGGAAGAATGAGGAAAAATAGAGGTAACAATGAAATTAGATATGCATAAAATTGTCTATTTTTCCAGACAGGTTCATACCTGGCCAATGAAACGCATTTGCGGCGTCAGATGAAAAATGTCCATTGGACTCTTAAGTTTCACCACATACGAACCATCGGTGATTAATTCGGCAAAATCCAACGTACTATCGAATGCCCCTGGTTGTATGGCAGACATCGTACAATTCTCGTAAAACCTGTCCAATGCATACTGAATTCCTAAGTTCATAAAAGAACACTAAAAATAATGCAGGGGAGTTGATCGATTTCAGATTTTCTCAATAAGTTCAAAATGATTCATGAAATAAAACTTACCTGTGTTAAAGTCGTGTATAACAGTCATTGGATTAGTAGAGTAATAAGGGTTTGTGGGTTTTGAATTATGGAAGTCGTATCTAACTAGTTTATAGTCTTGGCTGTACCAAACCTTCAAAATTTGCAAAAAACAGAAGTTCAATGGTCAAAATTAGAGAACGGAATTCATTCTTTTCATCTTCATGAATTGCACTAATGCAGTTACGCTACCTTTGAAACAAAAACTTGTCCATATTGTGGTATGACAATCTCTTGGTTGTAGGAAAAAAAGGTTTTGATAACAGGGACTGTTGTTGGTTGGATCCAACCTAGACAATAACCAAATTTACAATAAATATGCTTCCTCGCACTGTAGACATTTTCTTTATGTTAACCCGAATTCTTATATCCAAGGAGAATACATATATTACTTACATGTAGCATATAGGTATTACTTACCATATGTGATAGTGAGATCGACACCAACATAGGTCTTCAGCTGAAAAAAGTATTTTTAATTTGAGGTTCATTGGTATTGAATATTTCAACAAGCTAATCTTTTGAAAAGATAGGTGAGCTAGCACTGTAGCCATCATAAAACACAGAAGTAGATATCTGAACCCTTGGTTTAAGTTGCTGAATCGCATACTGTAGATTACTGTTATTTCAATTTTGAGGTGAAAAATAAGAGGTCGCTAGAACCTACGGGCACCTAGTTTAAAATAATCCAGTGTGGTACTGTAATTTTTCATTATTGATTTGATTTAAGAAATGATAATAAAGAAATAGCGATATTTCTCGATAAATTTAGATTGCAAATATATGAATCTTTACTGGGACTGAGTCTATGATGACTTGGACCATGTATTTTTGAGCTAAAATCGCCTTTCTCAGGGAAGCATAGGCATCATATAGCGTTTTCTCCACGACAACAGGGCCATTTACAGTTCCTACAGAAAAAAAAAATGACTGAAATGATTAGCCACTTGTATATATTTTATCTTCCATTCCATTTTTTTTTTTAGATTTAATCCATAAGTTGTTTTGTGTAAGTTTATCTTTAAGACTTGAATTATTTTCCAATTTCTCTCGTACTAGAAAAGTGATCACATCCACTTCCATTAACAAGATGAATGGAGCCCTCTGAGATGTGTCGTCTGCTGAGTCGACATGAACCCTGTATATCTCCAGGACAAAAGTCAAAACTGTTGCAGGTAAAGTTATCAAACTCCACACACAGTTTGGCACACATCACTGGATCAATGATGTTTTTGAACATAAAGTCATCCGTAAATTTCGACCTTTGACCTTTCGTGTACGTAAACTGTGCTGAAAAGGTACAAATTATTCTTATAAATAAGTTTTGCACATCGCCACCCAGAATTATATTTTTTTTACCCATGGTTATTTACATGAAATGTTTGAAATAATAGGCATACAAAGGGATAATTGTATCTTAAAATATTGAGCATTGATATCATCTAACCTGCAGCAGACGTTCTGTCAAGGAGGGTTGCCAGGAGATAAACGTCTGCTGTGTCATACTCCACACGGACGTCCTGGATACGCAGTGGCGACACTTGCATAGTTTCACCCAGTTTTTGTCTTGCCCCGTATATGAAGGACTTCGCCAAAGCGGGTTGTAATGCGCCTATATCATCATTATGTACCGTGAATGTTTATTGCATACCTATCTATTGTAAGTAACTTCTACAAAGTTACACGTACGTGCCCTAACTCGATGCATTTTTTTTATTTTTCAATATTCCATCCTTACTATATTTGCATGTAGAGTACGTACTAGATCGATATATTTGAAGAAATGTGTAGTATTTGTTGCCTAGAGTGATATTTGTGATTTTCCTGGGTTCTTCATGTTTTAGAAAGTCTGTTGTATCATATTATTATATTATAATCTGTAGGGGTCGGTTCTAGAACAAGAACTTTTTAAAATAAAAATCAACCATTCATTGGATTGGAGAATATGTGACATGTGAATTAAATATATTTTTATATACGTCATTTACAAACTTAAAGAAGATGAAGGATACAAAATTTACAATACATACCAGGAAATCTTATTTTGAAGTGTACTTTGGCGGTTTGTGAATAGCAAGAGGAAACGTCGAAGTTCGAGAGGTCTGGGTGATTGCCATCAAAGTCCATGATGTTCATAACTTGATGAAAGTCCTCCTAATTAAGAATTCATTATTAAATCTTGGTAATTACTAAAATACTTTATATTAATATCAAATTCGTCATTTTTTTTAACTTACGTCTTCTATGTCTATCGTTATTTTTACAGGAACGTCACGGGTAGCCGCACTCCCATCATTTGGGTAATTGGTGTAATCATCCTTATAAAATAAGACGTATCATTTCTTTGACCATTTTTAACGTTAGAAAAATTGATATACTCAAATTTGTTTCCAGTTCAACGTTGTTGACACTTAAGATTACAAATAGATTGACTTGTTATGCAATTTATCTAATTTTAATGGGAAAATTATTTACTGTAAGAAAGTAGAATTCAATAGTAGCATTTGAAGTTCCAAACCCCTGTACAAAGTAGGGTCTTCTTGCTGAGAACACATCGCATGTCATTTTACGACACAAACGCTAAAAGGAAGATAGATATAGTATAAACGATCATTAAAACAACAAAGTACTCTACAGGCTGAAGTCATCTTTATAAAAATTTCTTGTGTTTGGTTTTCTTTGCATTGGATGTTATGAATAAAGCTTTAAGATCCTGATTCTACTGTTTATTCTCTTACTCCTAATGCCGTCTTACCTTTCCGACGTAAGTAAAATTTGAATCTAAATCAAATAGCTGTAGAGGATTTTTCATGTGTAACACAAACGACCCGTTGGTTATTGTGGCTGACATAGTTTCAGCTGCCCCAAAGGCTTTACTTGACAGAGGCAGTACAGTACAGTTCCCATAGAAGTTATCCCTGACGTACCGCACACCTGACAAACACGAAATATTTTCATTTCATGCGATTTATATAAGATTTCCACTGGAACATAAAAAGACTTTAAATATTTATATTAAATTACAATAAAAATATCAAGAAATATGAAAAGTTTACAACAGGTTGGCTATGTTAAAGGAATACGATCTTTGTTTTCATTTTTACAATGTTGAAATTACGTCAAACCTCCATTGAAGTCGTGCACCTCCGTCAGAGGGTTAGTGTTATAAGTTGGTGGGCCAGATGACAATGGTTTATAGTCGGTCCTCACCAACTTGTAGTCTTCGTCGTACCAAACCTTCTCGCCAAAACAGAATCCAAGAAGAAATGGTGTATACGGACAGACTAACGTGTTATCACATCAATTATTCTAATAATTATCTAAAAACAGGTGATATTGCCTTGCTATACTGTTGATCGCCTTATGATATGAATAATATAGTGAACTGGTTATCATGATAGAAGTATTTATTATGGGCGTAAGGAATTGAGACTCTGTAGATTGAAACTTACATCAACCGTGGTCACCAAATTAAGTATTTCATTAATAACTTCCATTCTATAGTAGAACTGGGAGGGTATCTGAGGCAGTCCCCGCGTACTTTTTCTTCCTGGACAAATTACTCCAACAGGTGTCTGTAAGGTAAAAATTCAAGAAGCAATCATCACACTATTCTAATTAATTTCCCTCCCTGATTTTTTTTTTTTACTATGAGGGTTAAAGGTACCTCAAAAACAGTTGTGATATCATCCGGAAGTGACGGGTTAAAGCTGTAGAAGTCATACACGTGATGAATCGGGCTTGTTCTTCCGGGACCCTGAACCTCAGCACGGACAGGCACACTGACAAAGCTGGATGATGTATTCCAAATGCTTTCCGCTACAAGCAGACAGTCTTATGTATTTGAAGGTCGATATACTCACGAAAAATCAGTTTAGATTTATACTAGGTTGTTATAAACACAAAAGAAAGAAAAACAAAGCTATTGTAATAAATGTATTTAGATTCTCAACACAGTTTTCATACCTGAGAAGTAGTAATCGATTGTATAATTTACTTTTGCTCCAGACCAATGGAAAATAGACCTCCAGTGATTTACTATGATTCCCCGTATCGATTCCTGGCCGAGGTATGTCTGAAATTGAAACAGGGTTATTTTGTCCATTTCAAGCAAAATGTTCATTATGATACCCCAAACATGGACAGAAAAACTTGAAGTATCAACACACTATACCTCATTGTATTTACTGCCAAACTTCAATGCATAATTGCTGTCTAAAACATGCAACCTTCCATCCTCTCTCATTTCACCGAAAAGAGATATTGCCATTGATGTACTAATATTTCCAACACTACAGAATCCATCTGAAACAACAATTGTACCAAACATGTGCATATTGTATTTTAAAAGAACTAAATGAATCCAATAAAATTATTAAATATGGGGTTATTGTTATAAAGAACTGGTAAAAATATTCAATCTCCTTTATTTCTGTGTGAGTGCACTGCATATGTATTATTAATTTTTTTTGTTATTTTGTTTCTTTTTGTCTGTTTGGTCACTTATTTGTTTTGTGTTTTAGATGTATATATATATTAAGCATGATTTAAAAAAAAGGATAGAGCTCGAGTGAACAATATTTGACGACGTCGACTTACTGGTGACGTAGAAAATCTCATCGGTATCAAAACTGTAGATTATACTTCCTTGAACAGCATTCTTAAGTGTATCAATTCTCACGCGGTTACCCTCATAATCAAAGTACTCAACAATATCCACCGTGGTATTTTTGTCCACTATATTTAACTCAATTCGAGTCTGGAAAAGGGAGGGAATCTGAGGAAGTTCGGGCTGAGGTGATGCTACAAAAGGCAAGCAGCTAAATCAAAAGCAAGAACGGCTTAAAACAGAATCCAGTGACAATCATTAAAAAAGTCTAGAACACAACGTTCTTTTTTTTTTCCTTAATTTGAAATGTCGTTCAGGAAAGCGTTGGCGTCAGTAATCGTGAAGATTTTACTCCCTCTACAGATTTCAAGATTTCCTTTTTTGACATTAAGTTCTTTCAAGTGCTTTACGTAATATTTACTTAGTAATTAAGTATTTTGTTTACCCTTTATCTGTCTCTTGCAATGCATAATTTACTATCTCTTTTTTTCTTAGGTTCATAATTATTTGGATCATCGTGCTCAAAATAAGCTATTTTATTCTTTTTGGATCTCCTGTATAAACAATGATGTTAAATTTAAAGTAAGATAAATGTAATTTCTGTGCTGAGGTAGCCGTGTGTACTTATTCCGTACCTGTAGTTAATGCATCCGCGTCACAGAAAGAAACCAATGTGAGCGTCAGTATAGGCAATAGAAGCAAATATGAGAATTTTACCTACAAAAAAGATGTATTAGTCAAGCTACGTGATATTTTTATAAAGAAAAATTTATCTATAACACTAAAGTAGAACATTGTAAACAAAACCAACAAACCGTCATTATAGTAGGTCTTCATCCGTACATCACATGTGATACTGTACGGAGATAATTTATCAGAGTTTGATAAAGATTAAAGTTGTCTGATTAAATAACAATAGTTATAAACATTATCACGTGTAAGTACAAGTATTCATTCTTTTGAAATTATAATATACCTGTTGTGGTATATTCATTTACCCTGCTTTTTGCAAGTATTTTATCCCCTAAGACAGCTTATAGGGGATACAACTTTTTTGTGTACAAAAGCTCGGGGTAAGATTGAAAAAGAACAGAATCACCAAAAGGCACATATTTCTGCTGCATTATAATAGGCCAAATCCAACTCATATTCAAGCTTAAAGGTGAATTACTGCTCAGATATCTTTCATAATTACAACTGAAATTTCAGGTGCAAGTTAATAATACAGAATATTAAACGGATGTATTGAAGTTGAACTTTGTGTGCGTGCATATAGCCATGTTATTTAACATGAGCATGCACATTGTAATCAATCGGCAATCCTCGGCTGATTCCGCTACGCTCCATACAAACTGTACGAGCCACCCGAGGCGCTCCGAGTGCATTATAATTATTGAAAATGAAGGAAGCTTAAATTAATATAAAATAATTGAAAGTGAAAGTTAAAACGAATATATATTTAAAAAAGAATTCTAAAAAACAGTCATAATTAAGCATGCCATTACTGACAATGAAAGTGTTGAGTATTATGGGTTAGCGAGCTTTCAGTAATTATAATATTTGATATTTCTCAGAACATCCAGTTGTCATCATAACTTCAATTTGATGAGCAAGTAAACATAATTTAAGAAGGCGAAAGGTCATATCATTAAAGAAAAGTCATCGCTGAGAATATTATTGTTGTGCAGATGTTGGAATCGATGTTTTAGGATGTGTGTTTTGCCCTTAAATGTTTTAAGATTTAAATAAACTGTCATATTTTCTATAAAATGCTTTTTAACTCAGTTTGTCGTATATAATGTGTCACGGAATAAATCCAGAACTAATTTGATTTAATCAGTATTTTATTATCTAAAGCCTGTTTACATAATTGGATTGGACATCAGGCTTGGCCTATACAAGTTCTCTCCAAGAAAAAATCCAACACTGCAATTGGCACCATTTTAATTTATGGAGTGCTTCATAGAACAAAAAACCTAGAAAATATAATGAATTAAACACACTCTCACAACACGCATAAGACTATTACATTATGCATAACAATATCTTTAAAAAATACTTAAAAAACAAGTCGAAAATTGACCGAATCACAAATTCACTTCCGGTTCGGACAGGAAGTGCTGCAAGAAAACAAAAATGTACTTTAGATTTAACTTCAGATTTTGTTTCAGTGTTGTTTTGCTTATAAATACCAGAAAATATCGCCAAATTAAAGTGTCGCGAAAATATAGTGTTATACAGTACACGGTGCAGAGATTAAAACATGCATATTAAGGAGTCACTTACTGGTCAGCAGTAAGGCCAAGATAAGTCACCTAAACGGAAACATTTGGATATCAAAAATAAATAATGTCACATGATTACACAAAAAAGTTTATGATTGGCAATTCACGCCAATTGTATTTTTCCCCAAGTTAAAATCCAACAATAAGTATACAATGTACATGTATATACATGTACAATTTTACTGAGTTTGTCTTGCTCTGTTTCTGAATTAAATACATGACTTTAGGTTATAACCGTCTCAAATATATCATCCTACAGTGAATCTCTACAACAGCAAGCTTACAAAAAGTTAATACATACCAATAGTAGTTTTAAAAGGGTCTTTAACATTCATAAATGATAGCTGACGTTCAAGAAAATATCCCTTTTCTGAGTAAAGGGGGACTTAATGTCAAGTTTTCTCAATTCTTAATTCATTGCAAAATTTGAGAATATTAAATATGGATAATTGCAAGTGTTGTTTATAGATGCATTGGCGATTTTATTTTTTAAACAGAAAGTTGCCGCAAGAATAAATACATTTAGTTATACATGTAGATGTATCTCATACAATAAAATGAGTCAAGTTCCTTATAATAAAAAGTCATTTCAGTTTTGACTAATTAACGATACGCTTTAATGATAAAAGTTAAACTACTTTTATTGTAATTTTTGCTTAAAGAATGATTTATTTCGGGGGAAAATTACCTTTTTACATTTTATAGATATTGGTAAAATAAAATGAAGGCAGATAAAGATCTGTAGCCAGGCAATCTGAGCTGTTATGCAACTCTGAACTGTTTTCCTGTAGATATTTATAACATCTTACTTCATTTAAGTTCAGTCCATCCATGCAATCTGATACTTTTATTTATACTTTTGTAATTTATGTGTTGTTAGGGTGTAACAATTTATTTTTGGCAATCTTCAAGAGAGTGTGATAAGTGTCAACATGATATCTTATATCGAAAACACCCACGCACTATCATAATATCTTCTTACTTGCACTTACTTAAATTACAAAACATTTTGACAACTCATTTCTTGCCATATTTTAATATTCATCGTAGCGTTTATCTTTTCAGTACTACTGACACATATCTATAATCTCGTAAACAAGTAAGACGATTATGTTTTTAGATGCATCATACGTGTGCTGTCAGTTTATTTATTTGCACAACTGTATCGCCAAGATATCCGATTTCCGTAAACAACTGATGCATATTTACATGTATTATGTACGAGTACATCTGGGAATGTACAATGTAATCCTCCCGCTTTCAGATCAGATTTGACAACTAAATGATGTCCTTGCTTTTAGTGTAAATCTTTGATGATGTAGTTCCAATAGCGTACACACATGTAACTTTTAAAAATATTTAGTATAACAATTTTACTGGAACTATCCATTTATTCATATTATTACCTGAGCCCTGTATTTTTATCGTGCAATGTTGATTCTAATCTGACCTGACAAGTCAACATAATTTTCTGACTGGTCGACATAATGTTCTACTAGTCAACATCATTATCTGCCAAGTCGACATAACATCTGACAAGCCGACTTGTCAGAAAATTTGGTGGACTTGTCAGATAATTATGTCGACTTTTCAGGAAAACATATTTACTGGACTGAAAATTATGTCGACTTGTCAGATATTATGATGACAAGTAGATGTCATTTAGGGATTTAACATACTGTAATAACAAGATATCGAGTTCCTGGTCGTGATGTTTTTTATCTGACAAGTCGACATAACTATCTGACAAGTTGACATAAATATCTGACAAGACAACATAAACATCTGACAAGTCGGCATAAGCATCTGACAAGTGGTGGCAGAAATATGCCAGCATACATGGCAGTACAGATCCCAAGAATATTTATTATACTAGTATTTTTTTCCTTAAAAATCCGCAAGTCGTTGCACTATTAAAGTGAAAAATGTCTAATCTGACATGCAATGAGAGACAAATTTTTTATCGGAATAGACAAGGTGTCCGATAACAGAGTAAAGAACATTGAAAACAGTACAATGGGAATTTTAATTAAAGGTCGGGATTCACAGTGAAACGGATTTCACAGGTGTCGGATTAGACAGTTTTTCACTGTAGATAAAACTTACATGTACGAGCCGTCCTCCATGATGAGTCACCTTTTGTAAGACCAGTTTTCCAGAATGTTTTAGGCAAACATTGTTTTTAATCTTGCATTTTCAACAACCATATTTTGGGTAAGAAGAAAAAACATAAAAAGTATTTAACTATTATTTTTCTTTATCGAATTATGCTCAAAGAAATAGGAAGGTAAAAGGTCCTTTTTGTCTCCTTGTTTCGGAAATTGTCAACTGAACAATGCAATGCACTGCTATACATAAAATATGTAAAACAAGGTGTTGGGAAAGGGTCATTTCATGTAGTAAAAGGTAAAAATCGAGAGTTTAAACAGCATTTTATTCATCAATGTTAACGTTCACAACCCTAAGATACATTTACATGTATGTTTTTTTAACAAGCAAACACTTTTTCTTCGCTGATGTTATCTCACAGATTGACCGCAAAATGTTCTTGAAGTATAGTAGATTTACAGCCCTCATGAATGAGTTCAGCAATAGACATTGCCATTAAGGGACCAACACTGTTAGACCCGAAATCTGAAGGACATGTCAAGGACATACAGAGGTCATTCTCAGGAGGCATATAGTTCCATGTACTCTGATACAGTATCAAGCTCCTTCTCTTCTTCACGCTGGCGAAAGACTGAAAAACAAAAATATGCATCGAGGTATAGATAAGACAAATATATAAGGTTTCGCAGTCGTTGTCAATTGATAAAGTTTTTCTTGTAAAGCATTTTTTAGTAATGATTTTTCCAAAGATTTTATAGACGAAGAACTTTGGAGATTACGTGTATTTTTTATAAGTAAATTCATCAAAATAATTTTATTGATATTCAAAACAAATACAAAAACATTTTTTTTTCACTTAATTTTCGTCGAAATAAAAAAAAAGTTTCTAGACAAATTTCAATTTTGAAATTTTAATAATAGAAAAAAAAAATTAGAAGCTTATGTCAGACACTTACTTGCGGCGTGTAGTTTATGGAATAATTCCACTATTACCAAAATAAATGAAGATATGAGGTACACCACCAGCCAAAAGAGTATCGATGTTCTCTCTGCCATCGTGTCTTTGTTATGGTATTGTGCTGATGCTTGTCCTTATTTATATGGGTGACTGACGCAGTGTCACAGGAGAGGTTATATTAAAAAGAGTTAGATCTGACGTAATTATAGCAGCAAACACAGATGTAAACAGAGATTGTTTACAATTAGGCACGTTCTCGTAATGCATAGAGTTTCCTTTATATCACTAACAAGGATGTAATTTTATCCTCCCGTCATTGCTGTTATGAGCTCGAGAAGTCACCAGTTATATTGCTGATGAGTGTTTGACTGTGTGTTATCTTCCTTTGATATCTCATCCCTGACAAAGAGACTTATAATTATCATTTTCACATTACTATCAAACGCAGTAAATGTATCTGAGAAAATAACATTTACGTGTATTACATGTATATGTTGATAACTTGAAAAATGGAAAACTTTGAAGTATTATAAACGTTTGCATTGTATTTGCCAACGTTTGTCAACAGTGAAAACTTACCTACTTGTAAATCAAAAGAAGCTAGCAACGACTGAGACGGCAAATGATGTTTTGTACATATTTTGAGGTTGTTACAAACATTAATTTTGATTGTAAAGCGAAACGAAATACCCTGTACCTGTAAGCGAGGTATTAGTATAACTCGGGCCCGTAATTTTATTTGGTGGGAGGAGGGGATAGAAATTCCTTGAATAGCCGAACAAAAATAAAACATTTAAAAAATAAATTTTAAAAACAAGAAGTCTCTGATGAGATTGTAGCTCTACTGGTTTGTACTTAAAACAAAGGAAGAGAAAAGTAGCACTTCTGCTTGAAACAATGCAACAGCAATAAATAGAATAACGGTTCTTAGTTAAGTCTTTTTTGTGGTAAGATTTATTGCAATCAGTCTAAAACTGTTGGAGGAATAGCCTTCTGAAAGAATTTCACAAATTTCTATTTTTAGTAACAATGACAAATCAAAAACCGATATACAGAATTATGCACCACAGTGTAGTCTACTTGTGTGGAAAGTAATATTGAAATCAGACCAAAACTGTAGGAGAAGTAGCAGTTTGAAAGTATATCTCAGAAATTTCTATCTTTAGTAACCATGGCAAAACCATTATTTGAAATCAAGAACCAATACACAGAATAATTCATCTGAGATTGAAATCTCCCCATGTGTCAAGTAAAACTGAAATCCGACTAAAATTAAAAGGAGTACATGTAGCGTTTTGAAAGTATTTCTCAGAAATTTCTATTTTTAGTAACCATGGCAACAACGCTCTCCAAAATCAAAAACTGATGCATAGAATTATACATGTTGATATAGTCTACAAGTGTGCCGAGCTATACTGAAATTTGACTAAAACTGTAGAAGTAGCATTTCACAGAAACTTCTACTTTAAGTTACCATGGCAACACTGTTCATCAAAATTAAAACCCAGAATTATGTTTCTCAGTGTATCTACTTGTGTGCCAAGTTATACTGAAATCAGACCAAAACTGTAGGAGGAGCAGCGTTTTTTGAAAGATTTTCACAAAATTGTCCATTTTTAGTAACCATGGTAACACCGTTCACGAAAATCAGAAACCGGTGCAGAGAATTATGTATCTTCGTGTATTCTACTTGCATGCCAAGTAATATTAGAGTGACTACTGTGACGGACAAACGGGAAAATTGACAACAGTAGAATTTTTGCATGACACACGCAAATTTTGTTCAGTTCTTGAAGATATTAGGTTTCAGAAAATTACAGGTTTCAGAACCTAAAAAATCTAATTCAATGGAGAAAAATAAAAGTAAAAAAATCTTTGTATAACCCATCACAAAAATATTGCTTCACTTTTTCCTCTTTATTGTACGCATGCGCTGAAAAGTTGAAGAATTTACAAAGGTTTCAATTCCATAGATATAAATGTCGGATGACTGAGAATTTTGATACAATCTTCAAAAAAGATTATCATAACTTATTCCTTACTTCTGCTTGCCCCAATCCAATGTTGTTTACAAGTTTCACGCTAAAAATAAAGGACGCGTGACCTTGACATTGTTGACATTGACGATAAAAACAAAGCGATAGATACAACATTTGTTTTTCCGGCACTTATATTTTGCAGTTTTTTCAGTTTTTCAGTTTTTTGCAGTTGAGTTGTCAAATCTTCGTTATATTCATATTTCACAGAAATCTTTTGTTTTGTGATACAATTTTCTTATAAGAAACACATGGTTTTGACTCATTATGCAACTTTAAGAGGAGTAGCATTTTGAACAAAATGTTTACAGACAGACAGAAGGGCTGAAAGACGGACGGACGACGGACACCTTTCTATCGCATAAGCTCTTCTGTTCTCTGAACAGTATCAGACATTATTGTTAAGGAGACACAGCTGTTAATTAGCTTTGTTTTTATTGTATGATAAATATACTAGTAGGCAAAATTTTAAAGGGCCACCTCCTCCCAACCCAACCCAGCCCCCTCCGATTCCTAACTGTGACTGATTATTTTTAGCATGGATAATGTCATTGTACACCTATTTCATAAATTTAAAAAATACCCTCTAGTCACATTGTATATATTATGACTGTTGCATGCATATATGAGTTAGTTTATTAATACAAAAAAAATATGTTTGAAGTTTTAACAGGGAAGTAATTAAAACATTGCACTTCCATAACACCAGTAATTTTAAAAAAATAATTGATGAAGTCACTTTATGAACGTGACAAATGTGGCACATTTCCCTTCACCTAAAAACCACAGTCATGAGCACTTTTAGAACAGTCCTTAGGCACGTAGCATCTTTTCTGAAGGGGGCAGACAAAAGAATTAAGACAACTACTCATCCTTACAACGTCGGGGGTCCTGTTGCCGTTGGACCCCTGACAAATTTCATTCGATATCTTCGGGCTTGCTTCTCGCATTGAGAAGCACTAATCAAATTGAAGTAGATCAGAGGCCTGTTCAACAGAGCGAACGTCTGCGAACATTTCTGTCGGAGGGATAAGGAATTTTGGCGAGCACTCGCGGACGTTCGCTCTGTTGAACAGGCCTCTGTTATCACTTAGAATGCACGTTTTACGCATTGTTTATCACCGAAAGGATTCATGTGTTTGGTTGAGAGATAAGAAAAACAATCAAGTTTGTAATTTTCCCGAAAGACGTCGCTGCAATAATCCCGCAAGATATCGAATGAAATTTGTCAGGTGTCCAACGGCAACGTGTTGACTCAGGACTCCTGACGTTGTGAGGATGACAACTACCCTGAAAAATTTCTGACTAGCAAAAAAGTCCAACTTTCTCAACAAGGCAAAACATTGAAATTAAACTAAAAAATTGAGCATGCTGATGAAAAGATTTAAGGACAGTCTTTTTACGAACATTTTCACATGTACTAAATAACAGCAAAAAATTATATTTGGAAAAAAGTTCACTCGTACATGACATATCGCAGGCGCCAAAGCGGAAGTGCAGAGAAGCGTGTAGTTTTAAGGTCAGTATCAAATTTCGCAATTAATTTAGAGAAGTAAGAAAGTAGATATGACTTCGAAGAAGCGGGTTTCCGCTATTCGTTGCATGCAAGGTTTTTTTATGTGTGTGTGGGGGGGGGGGTGCACAGGAGGGTGTGTGTGTGTGGCTAGCTGTGGATAGTAAATAAAAATAAAAGGATTTGAATGGTCCAATCCACACTTTGCAAAAGTTAGTCCCTTTGCGGTGTCAATAAAAAGGTCAAAAGGGAAAGAAAATAATGATGTTTCTCCTCTTTATGCCACCAAACATTTGGGCGTGCTCTGATAAATCCACTGTGTTTAATTTTTTTTCTTTCAATATAAGGGTAGCCCCACCCTGTGGCAATCAATATTTCAAGATGCACAGATTTTTTCCTGTCAAATGCAAAAGTAACAATCCAGAAAACTATAAGGGCTACTGTGAGGATTCTATGGGTTTTTCTCCAAAAATGGCGGCCAAGGGACATAACTTTTGAAAAGTGTGGATTCAACCATTGGTGATCTATATTTTTGGTCTCGAAAAAAAAGATTGGACACCTTGTGTTTTGTATAGTATTAAACTAGCATACTGTATGAAAGTGTGGATGAAAAAGAATATAATCGTTCTGTTTTATTTGTTTTTGTCTTTGATATTACACTTTTTATATAACGACTTCAGTGATTAATATCGTGTTTCACAAAGAGTATTATTTAATACCTACATGTATCCGTAAAACTAAGATGACAAATAAGTTCTGGTAAGAAATTTAGAATTTCCTAATCATGCCAATTATCTGTCGGACACAAGAACTACTAACGGATGTTGATATTGAGGTTATAAATATTAGGTCGGATGTAAGGCCAGCATTTTTTTTATTTTTAGGTTTACAAACCCGCTGCTCGAGTTTTTTAATTTTCATGAAAAAAAATTGAGAAAAAGAGGGTTTTTTTCTTTCCCGATGTCGAATTTGAGTAGGGATCAAGATTTCAAATTTACAAACTCGTACTTCCACATGGCGGGTAAATAAAGGTAGACCTGCATAGTCCATAGCATCATCATAACTTGGTTTAGTGTAAAATTTATCGATAGGAGTGCCATTCAAAACGTTCACCCGTTCAGAGGAAAAATAAAATGCTGACGACTTTGTTGCACAATGGCATGTTGGTGAGATAATTATGTATCCGTATTCAAAAGTAACATTTTCTCCCAGAGTATAAAAGACATGGTAGCTATAGCCAGAGACATTGTTTGGTCTATGTTACAGCCTACAATCTAAGCAACATTCTTTAGAAAAGGATCGCTTATGCATCAGATGTATTGAATAAAACTATGGATGATGTGAAGTCCATTTGAAGGTGAAATAAACAATAGCCTAAAGAAATGAAATATTTCAATTATTAAAGAAAACAAGTATATACAGGCATATAGTATCGTTTTTGAATGTGGCAGCCAGAAAAATTATTTTATACTTAATTGAAGAAATTTTGACCCCTTCCCCAATACTCCCTGTGATGGGAATATTTACTTAAGGGTCTCGAGTATATTTTAAAAAACAATTTCTACACATTCATGTAACACGCATTTAAAAAAAAAAATGAAGAGATATGTATATTAAAAGAGTTTTTAAAAATTGATATTTTAAAAATTTGTATTTTGACCAACATCTCAAAATTTATATCACTGCCTGGCCCCAACTGGCAGACGCTGAAATAAACAATTTAAGGTTCTACCTTCCTACT